CCACATAAGTATTTTAATGAGGATAATTTAACAAAGGTAGATTATATTTTCTATACACTTAAAACTCTTGGCAAACTACGGAAATGCTTTAACACGTGCGAGTTAAGATAAGTCGAATAGAAAAAATAAATGATAAAAATGTATGAAAACATTCAATTTATTATCGGTGATAATTATGTAAGTATTGTATACAATACTGTTGTTCAATTTCTTATTTCACCGACCATTTTTGTCTTTTTACAAATCATAGCTACCGTTGTTAGAATTATTCTATATAAAATACGTTTCTTTTCATTTTGCATTAATTATGTGCTTTAATTAAGCACAAAGGTAGTGAAAAACGATGAAAGAAAAAGAGAATTCAATTTGATGAATTAACAATAATGATTAATAATTAATATTTATAAATAAAATATTTCAAATCGTTGAAATATTAAAACGAATAATATTCTTTCGTAGCACGAGTTAAATTAAACGTGTTTACAATAGGACGACCGAACTGTAACTATCTCAAATGTTTGCGAATATCTCGGAAAAAAGTAAACATACGTATAAGAATATACTTTCAATCATTTCAATCATCTTGAAAAGGTCGATGACGATTATTTACTAATGTTCTTTTCATTCGTAATCTTATAAAGAGTCTAACGTAAACTAGTAAAACATTTTCAAACGAATTTATTATTTGATCAAATAAATCTACGATTTTTAATTATAATTAAATTAAATATTATTTTAAGTTTAACAATTATACAAAAAAAACAATCTATTATTTTTAATTAATAAATAAAATAAATAATAATGAATAAAAATAATAATAATTAAAAATATACAATATTTAATTTGAATTATAAAACGTGATCTCAATAGACCAACCAACGAATCAACGAACGTTTATGAAAATTTTGTAAATTAATTAATTTTCTATCTTCAACTCAGTGAATCAAATTATCGTTAATTATTGTTTATATAAATTTGTATTATTTAAAAAGAATTGATTTACTTTTCAGACCACCAATCGGAACAGCGATGATGGTATATAAATAACTTTAGTGTTTAATTCGATTCGTCAAACGAAGAACAAACAAAACACGATAAACGTATAAATCAATTCTATTTTATTAAAAAACAAAACAAAAAACCAAAAGTAATAAATTAACTTTTTTATCAAAGTAAAAAATGATGCTATAATTTGAAGTAATCTTTTGTTTTTTTGTTTTTTTCATATCATATCCACTTTGTATCAACAGATTGATTTGACCAATCGCATTTGCGAATGCGTTTAAAAGTATTCGTTTTTCGTGTTGTATATAGTAGGAAGAAAAGAGAGTGCACGATTTATCAAGGATACCGCGCAAATTCAAAGCGCCGATGTTCGAACGACCAGGAAACGGCAATTAATCGAAAGTAATCTCGAGAGGTCTCGAGTACACCGCGGAACGATTTACAAGACGATCTAGCTCGCGGGGTGAACGAATGAATAGCTTGGATAAATCGATTGCGTAATAAGAAACAGAGAGTCAGTCCACAACGCGTAATTCGCCATCGAGATTGCATCCTGCAAACTTGAGAATCACGATACTCTTTTTAATATTATCGCATTCGAATATCACTAACATTACTCATTAATACGTTGAATACCGTTAGAGTCATCTCCCATACTAAAATAATACTAGAATACTATCTTCTTAATATATATATAAATTACGTGTCACGTTGTTTGTTCGCAATAGACTCGTAAACTACTGAACCGATTTTAATCAAATTTTGCACACTGTGTGCAGTTTCATTCAACTTGAAAGATAGGATAGTTTATATCTCAATTTATAATCGCAATATTATTTGTTTATTAACAAAGAGTCATGATTATCTCTGTTAGTTCGATAAGATTCTAACAGATGACGGTAAAAGGTAATTGTTTGAGGTGTTTGACACCCCAACGTGTTTGAACGCATCTCCTGAAGCCGCTATTTAAGATTTAGACCTCGCAATTTTTTTCAAAGTAGTATGATACATCTTTTTTAAAATAGAATAGGTTTTAATACCCATTTGAATTAACACTAGATGGCATTAGACAAATAACCCATTTTTTCGATTTCAGTACCGTTTTCCAGAGATCAAAAATTTGTTGGGGTATCAAACACTCCATGTGCACTTTAAGGGTTTACTGTCTACGTATATTAAACTGTTATCATTATCTGTAATCGAATATTTCCTTGTTAATATGTAAATGAACGTATATAATACGGATATAAATCTATCAATAAATATATATAGATATATATATGTAAATCAATATCAATAATACGGCTTCGCGTTTATACCGATTGCTGCTGTTCCGATAAAACACATCGAGCGTGAAAGGAGATTGAATAAAATTTTTTTCTTTCTTTTTTTTTTTTTTTACAGCTTCGAGGTAAACGCGAACAGGTGCTTTTAAATAAAATATTATAACAACTTTGATCAACATCCTCGCTGACACGTTTTCCTCGAAGCAATTAGAGCATGATCGTAGAAAGAAATAAGAAAGAGAAAATAAATCGAGCAAATTTTCAATTCGAATGGTTGATCGTTACTGTAAGTCACGTGATAATGACTTTTATATATACGATCAGGGTACACGTTTAATAACCTAACAACACGTTATACAAATCAACATGACTCCAAATTTGTAATCTCTTAAAAAGAAAATGAATGTAAATCGTGTTAATAAAAATTATAAATTTAATCGTTTGAGTCCCAAACAGCAAGATCGAGTTCTTCAGATTTTGTGTCGACAAAAACCTAGTATATTTCGAGTTCTGTGATAAATGACAGTGAAATAGCGTTAAACGAGCATTATCGTGCTGTTTAAGATTTTTCACATTTGATTAATTGTAAGACAAGTTGTTCAAACTGTTTCAAGTCTCTGTAATTCAAACGGCTAATGATGATCAAATTTTAACACGATATCTTATTAATAATTTCATGAAAATATATTAACAGAAGAAAATGACGATAGACGATAAATGATCATCGAGTTTAAATACATTTAAATGTTTCTATCAATAAAGGATTAATAATATTAGCAAGAAGATTTGATTGACATAAAGAAGAAAATGTAGAATAAGCAAGCATAGGAAGACACGTCCAAAACGTTTTAGAAACGTTTTAGAAACGTTTATTTGTATCTTTAAACGATATATAAAAATAGTGCACAATGAATATTTATACTGTATACGATAAATGTTGTTATATGTATGTACAGCAGGTGCACATATATGTCACAATATATTCAAAGATATAATAAATAGTATATACTTAATGTATATAGTAAAATATACGTATATATAATAATAGTTATATAATTCAAGATAATAAAGAAAAGAACAAGAAAATAATACGTGTAATGATACTACAGTATAAGTGCAATGATAGTTATATAACTGAGAATACATAAAATAGGAAAGATATAGTAAATAATATAACGTATATAATACAACTATCTGTATAATATAAGAGCATAATAACAGCATGCCAGGCATAATAGTATCGAAATGTATATGAAGATAACAAAATGTACGAGTGAGGAGAACTTTCGTCTCGAGAAAGAACGACATAATCGGTGAAAGTAACGTAAGTTGACTACCTTGGCCTTTGCTTACGAATGCTTAGGATAAAGTCAGTCAACACCGAACAAGAGCGCCTATTCCATAACGGTCTACGTAAGATGGCTATTGGTAATGGAAGACACTTTCAATCATTCGTCCTCCTTTTCGTTTCTTTTTTTTTCTTTTTTTTCTTTTTTTGTTTTTCTCTTTTTTAATATCTACTCGAAATGAAAAAGTTAAAAATAATACAAATAATAAAAAAGTATAATATATGTCATTTTTTATTGAATATTTAAGCATCATTATATTTGCATTCTGACTACGCTGAATATCTCCTATCGTAAAAACGAAGGCCAAGGTCATTTGAAAGACAAGGACGCATTAGAGAAAGCATCGATTTATCAAAATACTTTTTTCTTTTTTTTTTTACTCTACTTTATTTTAAATGTATGTTACGTGGATACTTTTTTCTTGAATCGAAAATATTTCAATGAAAAATCAATTTACAGTTTAGACACATTCTTGAATTATGATTATTATTGTAATTAGATTATGTTTTTTTTCTTCTTTTTGTTTTTTCTGTGTACAAAAATTCATTTGAAATATTTCCACGTTATAATAGAATTTCAGAGAATAAAGTATTAGTATTTAGATAATCATGAAAATTATGCTGATAAAGCACTCCATTTTTTAGACTTTATTATTATAAAATATTTCCAACATTTTTTTTAATGATACTTAAAAAAATAAAATATATTATTTCTTAATAAGAATAAATTATACTGGAAAATATATTACTATGAAATTCTCTCATATTTATTATTATAAAAATTAGCTATGTCAGATTTTATATTTATTCATACATGATCTAAATAATTAAATCTCTGTGTCAATCATTTTTACTTCAAAAACATTACATATATATATCTACTATAATAAAATGTTTGTATTCAAGTTCAAATGAAAATGATTTTCATTATACATTCTTTGACTTCTATTGAAAGCTATTTGGAGAATATAAGAACAATATAATTCATTGACAAATAAAAACGATATAACTATAATAAAATTCTTACATCAATGTATACATGATCTAATTAAAACTATTATATCGATGAAATTTATTTCAAAGAAATTCTATATATCTAATAAAATAAAACATTCGTATCCAAGTTGAGATGAGAAGTAATTTTTTGTCAAACTTTCTGATTAAACGTGTTCTCATCATTTAAATGTAGAATAAAAACTTTAGCGAGTATATTGGAGGATGTAAGAAGAAGAACGGTACAAGAGACATCCGCAAGTAGGAACGGGATGACGACGAGTCGTACTCCGTAATACCGTGACCTTGACTCTGACTAGCCGAGCAGCCAGCTGCTCGGCCAGGAATAAGCTCGATACTCGGTTACCATGTTGCACCGCTAATATTAGCGTTCACAGCCGCGTGCACTAAGAACGACCCAGTGACGAACGCGTTCCCGGTGCATCCAATGTAAGTAACTCTTACCATTTTCCTACCAACACACTATATATCATCGATCTGTCGGGAATTTGAGAATACCGAGTGTGAAGCCAAACGTTTCGGAACTTTCTAAGAAACTAACTTATAGTTCAATGATCTATACGAATGTATTGTATCATTGGCTACTTTAAATTATATTAGAGTCGTATGTTTATAAACTATGGTATTTTAATGATCTTACAAATTGTGCCATTGTTTAAATAATGCTATTAGTATTGCTTTTATTGAGAGATATTGGATGAGAGTGGAAAGGGGGAAGAATGGATGAGAAAGGTGGAGAGAGGGATGAGAGGGACAAGGTTTGGTAGAAGGAGGAGAGTACGGTGGTTCAAAGGTGGGAGATGAGGGAAAAGAAGAAAAGGAGGAGGTTGAAGGAAATGTAAAAGGATTGTAACCCTTCGGGGATGCAAAGAAAGATTATTCTAATATTTCTCTTATTAAATTAATCACTGTAAAATTATTAATCGGATCATTTTTTTAGGGGCATATGTATATAGATTGTTACATTGTACAGTAAATCTAATCAATATTCTCATTTAATTATCTTTGATATTTGTCAAGTATTATTTCTCGAATAATTCTATAAAGTTATAAATATTAACTCATAACAAATTTATAATTTATGTAATTATATTATAACATTATTTAAAAAATATCAAATTCAATTTATTTGTACTAAAGAAGAATCTCATTAACTGTATAATTTTTGTTTTCTATTCTACTTATCAATCATGATATTTTATCAGTTTGTTTTTTTTTTTTTTTCTAACAAAATTTAGAAAGAAAAACATATAAATTTGAATAAATCTTAAAAAAGAAAATAAAAAAAATAATAATTTACCTTCGTTATCAAAGTTCATTAATAACATCACACACACTCTGATAATATATAAATATACTTTAATTTTAGCTTCTTCAATCGATACGTGGGTTCCCCGAATGAATTCCCCTTTCCATATTCCAAAATGATAAGAGATTTATACTGGAGTAAACGAACATGTGAATTTCATCATCGTGAATCTTTGAAAATGCAGCTGATGAAATTATCAAAGTATTCCTACAAGAAACAACACACATATATATATAATCCATATAAACATGCATGCATGACGTCACGAAATAATCGTGATTATCTTATGCTCGTGTAAATTCAAAAGATTGGAAAAAAATCGTGACACGTAGAAGAAAAAAAGACAAGAGTTAGCAAAAGAAAGGGGAATGATAGCGAATAAGAAGGGAGGCGTACAGAATGGAAAATAACAATAACAAGTGTTGGACCCCCTGCGACTCGTATCTCTTCTTCATTGCGTCAACCCCCAAGAAATGACCTGACCTGACGCACTTAGAAGTTATCAATACATTATCTTTCTCTCTTTCCTACTCTTAAGATATTTCTTTCTTCCTCTTCTCATTCGTTTTCTTCTTCTTCTTCTTCTTCTTCTTCTTTTTCATATTCATCTTTTTTTAATTTCATCGTCAATAACATGACACCGATCAACTCTCGTTGAAGAATCAGATTAAATGATTAATGACCTTTGTCCACTTGCAACTCGACTCCACCTCACTGTAATTCCTTTTCTGGTTATTTCAATAAATAATCCAAATTTTTGTTTTTCTTTTTTAATGTAATTCCATAGTTTGACGTAAATCGTTCAATCAAATAACTTGTTTATGAATCCGTTTGATATCGTCGATCGTTGTTTAAATTATATTCGATTATAATAATATTTGAACGAAACGTGTTTATTTAATTTGTTAAGAATCTTACGGATATGATTTACTTATACGAATCGCGAGTATTTGTCGGATTGTTTCAAAAAGTGGAACGCTTGTTCAGCAACGATATACCGTCATTCTGAATTTCGAAATATAAAAAGATTGAAGAATGCACAACGTCGATTAATTATTACGACAATTCTAAAGAGATTTTTTTTTTTTTTTTTAAGAAGAAGAAGAAGAAGAATTTTATTATATACTATAACCAGTAGTTTTAGAAAATAACGAGATTATATATGAATGCATAAAAGACGATTAATTATTTATTAAAATTATTATATTAAAAAAATAAATTAAATTATGAGACTACAATTTACTTTTCTTTTAACAATAATTCTTAAAATTATTTGTTCTTATCTCTTCTTTTATTTTAAAAACCGATGTTCTCTTTGTCATACAGTTCTATCAAAAACTAATCTACAATTTAAATTTCCATTACAATACTCTCGTGTCTTTTAAATTCATAGATTAATTTATGTATTAGTTGAAGTATATAATTGTATCTTCTTTTATCCGTTCAATTTTTAGATAATTTATGTAATAGTTAGTTTTATTTCATAAATTAACCCTAACATATATATATGTTCGATACATATATCGAATATAGTTATAATTATAATATAATTAGAATATAATTAAAGGATTTAATCACACTCAGTTTGTACACTTTAACCTCTGGAACGATTCCACTGAGCAAAGGGTATGTAAAAGATGATACACTGTCATATGACAGCACACACGTTTCAAAGATATACTCTCCATAGTATTGTTTCTTTTTTAATAATCTTCAAACTTAAGAATCAATGTCAGACTAAAACGATTTTTCTCATAAAAATCCACACCAATTAATTATCATGGAACTTTGAAACCTAATATTATGCAAATAATCTTTTATTCATTTTTATTTGTTCTTTTTAAATCTTAAATCAAAAATAAAATGATTTCTATATATATATATAAATAAGAAATAAAAACTTGACACAAAATGATTAATATCAAAATGAATTGACAATTTGAATAATTAAAGATTAATCTAAAGCAGTGATCTTCAAATTTTGTTTCATTTTAACAATACCAATATGAGTTAAAAAAATATTTTGTGGAAGCCTTTTTTTTTTATGGAATTTTTCAAATACGATAAATAATATTAATATGATATAATATATTTAAATAAAAATCTTTATAACCCTTTGCAGAACTTCAGAACCTCAGGATTTCGTGAATGGAATACAATTTGAAAACCACTGAAGTAAAGTAATTATAAATGTTTTTTTTTTTTACTTGATACGTAAAGAGCTATTTAAAGAAATAATTCAATCGACAAGTTGGTATTATTATCTATCTCTTCTATCATTACTCTTTTTTCACGTCTACGGTAGGTTATATCCTCACATCGTGCCTTGAACTCAACGTGTCTATCAATACGACCCAACGACCTGATGTTAAAGGTTAAACAAATGAAGCTTTCGGGAACATCGAACGAACAGCAAAGAAATTGTCGAAGAGACTAAGAAAATTAAATCAGTCTCTGATTCTAAAGAAGTGTTCATTTCAAAAATAAATACATAAAAAATAAAATAAATAATGTAAAATCAAAACAATCGATACTCAAATAAAATGAAATTAATTCATTAAATCTGTACAATAAAAAGAATCAAAAATTAAGTCAAATAAAATTTAAATAAATTTGAAAGTAGGATAAAAAAAAAACAAGAAATATTATTAAATCAGAACAAAATAAACAATTTTGAAATTTGTCCACGTGAAAATTGATACACCTGTTCATTACACGCACCTACTTTTCTAAAACTTATGGCACGGTGCTACGTGCGCGAAGACGCGTATCATTTATGAGTACCGGATTCGAGAAGGTTCATGAAGGGGTTTCGACATGAAACATTGGAAATCGGGTATGAAAAGAAAAGGAAAAAAGAGAGAGAGAGAGAGAGATAGACATAAAGAAAGAAAGAAAGAAAGAAAAAAAGCGTTCATTTTGACCTCGTCTTCCTCCTGCGTACTTAGCCGATGTTTAGAAACGTCCGATCGATTCAAAAGATTAGCAACCGGTCGTCGTTCGATCACTTCACGTATATTCCATGCTACGGGAAACGCATTATGAGAATTACGTCATGGTCGTTGCACCAACCTGTGTTGTTATATCTGCTAAATATATATGTATATATACCTATATGAATATGTATAATGAATTCTATATAATATTGCTTATATTTCTTTCTGAATGACTAGAAATAATTACAATGTAAAGTATTATTAATAATAATTAATTATATAATTAATATATAATATTATATGTATTAATTGTATGCATAAATAGTTGCAATATTTAGTATAATATACAATATAATTATATATATTTATATATAATTTATTATATTTTATATATAAATATATATATATATATGTATATTATTATAATTTATATATATTTTTATATTTATATAATTATATTATATATATATTTATATAATATATATAATTAATACTACATAATTATTATATGAATTTATAAAATCATTTGCTTTAATAAAACTATTTAACATTGCCATTACCTTCATTCGAATTAGCTGAAATAATTATAATATATTTTGTAATTTACAAATTACTTGAACGTAGAACTTAGAACTCGTATTATTCATAACAAAAAAATGTTTCTTCCTCTTCGACATTTTGTACTATCTCGAAAATAAATATTAAGTATTGTGATAGCAATTTTCATTTGTTTTTTGTTTCTTTTCAAAATTGAACTAATTCAAATAAAAAACAAGAATTTTAAACTATTTACCTGTAACAATTTTCGCGAAAATTTAACGAACTATACCGAAGATAAAAATAAATCGAAAATTTAAACGAGTAGATTGTTTTTATAGACTCTTTTACGAGACTGCATAAAAATATTCACTAGCTAAAGATATTTAATATCACTTTAAAGTTGTTTCCTTTGTTCTTTGATTTTTCTTCTACCAATAGGTACAAGCAGATTTATCGATCTACTCGACTTATTTCAATGTTTCAACTCTAATCTAATGTATTTTAGTATCACTAGTATTGCAACATAAAATCTAATCCTTCTTGAAAAGACTCGTTAAAGTTTTATTACAATTCGCTATGTTTATTTATGAATAAATTCAATCTATCAATAAATACTGTTAACGTTTTGCAATCGATCGATCAAAAAATTTGTAATCTCAAACACATTTTAAACAATATTGAAAATATTAAAATGCTTATCTAAACTTATCCACATAGAATCTTGAAACTTATTTATATTAAAATAGCAATGATAATAATATTAATAATAATAATAATTATTATTATTATTAATATCATTTAATAAGCATTATGTTTCAGTTGTTGTTTGAGGAAATTTACAATGGGTCACAAAATATGTATATATGCATGTATATACATACTTTGTTTTTCATCTGTATAACTTGAATGTTTGATAGGATGTTTGATACGAAGTTTACTATGATGTTTAGTTCAGTAGCTATAGAGTTAGAGAGTGTGGTTGCAGTTTACACTCTCTGTGCACCACTACTCTCGACTTTAACCGCTCACCTTCACCTCGTCTCTTACTCAACGATCACCAACGGAGAATCGAGTCTCCTCTCTCTCTCTCTCTCTCTCTCTCTCTCTTTCTTTCTTTCTCTCTTTCTCTTTCTCTTTCTCTAACTCTCTTTTACTCCCCTTGCGTAATCGCAGTGCGGTACACGATCATTACCGAGTCAAATCGTCACTCGAGTGGAATAAGTGCGTGTGCGTACGAGCAAAAGACATTATCGAAACATTAACGTTCATGTGGCTGAGTCCTGCCACGTAAAGTGCCAAGTTTCCGAAAGGTAATCGAAACTGGTGCTACGCTTCTTTGTTTGATATACTCCACAAAGTATATATATATATATGATTATATATCAGCAATGAACTTTCGAATCCCTATAATGCCAATTAGTAATAATTAAATATATATATTAGGGTGGGTCAAAAAAATCAATTATTTTTTTGTTTACAAGTGCCACGGAAAAATGGGTTGCTAGACACCTTAAAAAAATTCTCACCAAATATGAGCTCACAGTTTTTTATTTTTTTCTTGTAAAAAAAAGAGAGAGAAATTATCATATGTTAATATGATATCTTCTTTATACATCTTTAATATGCTTGTTTTCCTATACTATTATGACTATTAGTTCAGTTAATATTTTAATGCAAATGTACAATATCCATCATTTTGGAAATTTTGTACAAAAATATTTGAACAATATCTTCATATTATCCAGATATTTTTCCTCTTTTTTTTTTTTTTTTTTGTTAATTTGAATTATGTTTCGTTTGTTGAAATATACATTTTCAAAAACAAATCCGATCTTTTTACGTAACCCTTGTTATCTATATATATTAATTTGTTATCATTTATTATTAAAGATTGTTATTACTATTAAAGATGTATAAAAAAGATATCTTATTAACATATGATAATTTCTCTCTCTTTCTTTTACAAATATTATATATACACAAGTATAAACATAAAATCACATGTATATATATATAATTCATAGATAATACATATATATATATACATATATATTAATTATCGTAAGTAAATGTTATATAATAAATAAAAATAATAATGTTTTTAACGAAATGTAATGAAATTTAAATCTTTATGCATATTTACATAATAAACTGCATGAATACGTTGCAACTGTGCAAGCACATGCAACAAGAGATCTCTTAAGTGTTCGAATTATTCTAATCAAGGATTGTTCTAATCGCATTTGATTTATCGTCCATTTCTATTCATAATATCTAGTATCATATTATTGTGCCCATTTGATGTGTTTTTATAGATGTTTTTTTTTCTTAACATTTTCAAATAATATATTTCATACATGTTTTTTAATCATCTTGTGAAATATGAATTAGAGTATAAGAAAATATATATATATATATAAGTGAAAAGAGAAATTCTAAAAAATAGAAGGGATAGTTTCATGTACATTACTATTTCTCACTGTATATGATTATTGCATAATAACCTGAAATGAGTCAGCGAAAGAAGAACTTCCGTTTTTACCTGAAACAAAGACGCTACGAGTATTTTCTCTAAAATTATGAATATCATTTTGCTATAACATTTAAAAATAAAATAAAATTAAAATAAAAAGGGCTTCGAGCCCTTGAGCCCCTACAAACGATTGAAGTGAAACTTTTTTAAGTTTCTTTTATCTTGGTAGCTTTATTACATTATTATTAAATTAAATGATTAATAAATATTAAATATTAAATTATTATTATTATTATTAAATTAATTAAATTATATAAAAACAAATTAAAGATTAAATTAAATTATTAGATTATTATATTTTTTGTATACTCTATTTTCTATGTGTTTACAAATGGTTAAATGCAGCCTAAACCGGCTCTTGAAAACACCTCGAACACGACATGTGTGTGTGTAAAAATACACGTGAAAATTTCACGTCAATTAACATTCAGATAAAACCAGAAGGAAGTAATACTAGTATTAATTTAATTTCATAAAATATTGTCGTTATCATCACCTAAGAAGACTTCAAAAGAAAGAAAAATGTTAAACATCGATGTTTCATTTTCCTGTATGTTCACAAAGATGTTTTTGAATAAAACAAAATCGTCAGTATGAACGTAAAGTTGTCAACTTCCAAGAAACTCGGTTCTGTCATTTTTTCAATGACAACACGTCAACTCGTAAAATTCACTTTTTTTACGATAAAAATAATTTACTTTTGTGCTATCTTTTTAAAGATTATTTAAAATTTAATTATAGACAAACTTAACTTAAATTTCTTGTCATTAAAAAATTTGCTTCTTCTTTAGTTTCATGTTCATCTTTTAAGAGACAAGTTTCTTCAAAAATAATTTACTTTTCTTTCACATTTTGAACGATAAACTAATAATTTAGAAATAATGGACATTTAACTTATTGTTAGATTAAATGAATAGAAATATTTTTTTGAAAGTTCCATATATGGGTCTTTAAAAAAAAAATAGGTTTCTCTTAAAAACAAGTTACTTTTTCTCCTTTTTCTGTTTTTTTTTTTTTTACTTTCCCTTTTACGGATTTGAGTTCACTTCTTTACTAACGCTTTCTCACACTTATTCAATACTATCAAAGAGGTCACGTCTTTTTATCACCTCTCTCAAGTCAACATCATAAGTTTTTGTTGTTTTTCCAAACGGATCACTCCATCCATTTTACTAACCGTGTTAAAACTTTAGTGATCTAACGGAAACAAGTAATCCAACATGGATTAACCGTTAACAAAGGGAAATAACTAACCTAAATGAATGTAAAATTTAAATAAAATTTGTTATTTAAATATATTGTATTATTATCATCCATTAATGGATGAATAAAGAGGAGTGGATGGATGGAGTGGAGAATGCAAGAATGTAAACCAAGTCATACCACATGGTTGTAAAGCTGAGTTAAATAAAGATTATCTATCTATCTATTATCATCCATTTAAATATATTTTATTTTAATTTGTATATAATACACAATTATTTGATTTTAACAGAATAGGCACTTCGTTTTTTCAACAATATGTATTTACTTTGATCATCTTTAGAAATTTTCTGACGAAACTTCTTATTATTCTGCTTTCTATACTTTGTTCTAAAAAAAAAAAAAAAAATATAAAATTCGATGAAACACCAAATGATGGCTTAAGTTTATCAAATCTCGCGTGTTACCATCGACCTCGACGACCCTCAAAACTTGATAAAACTAACAGTATCTAAACAAAGAAGTTCGAGTATCTTCACGTTACGTTTGAATTACGTTTTGTTACGAATTATTGTATTATATATACATATAGCTATATGCATACATTTTTATATCTTAAAAATATTCTTGTTTTCTATTTTGAACAAATCTTTCAAAAATTGTTTTCGAAGTATAAAAAATGAAAGCTAAGAAAAAAAAATCAGAGCAAAATTAAGACCAAAAAATAACTGTAATTGATGGAATTAAAAATGAATATGCTCTAATTCTGCGATCACATGCAATTAAGAAGTTCAATAACACGTTGTATAGAAAAATTGAAAATCACTTAATTCTAATCTGCCCGAATAAATTAATCAAGGAAGATTCTCTAATCATTAAAAAAAAAAAAAGAAAGGATTCTAATAATAATTGTCGGAAAAGTTTTGAACGATAATAACCGTGTCAATTAGGATAACTTGAGGCTATCTAAAATATATCTGTCCGTAGAAAATTGATCTCTTAAAACACCCTATACGAATAACACGCGATTACTTATCGATCATCGACGTCAAAGTTTTACAAAAAGGGGAAAATTCGCAATGTCATTCAGGTCGACACTCATTTATTTCTTCTCGAGTTCACGAAACTGAATAAACGAGGAATCAGTAAATTGCATGTTGAAGAAGTATTTTTAAAAAGTAGGTAAACAAGAAAGAAGCACAGATTCGACAAAAATCAAATCAAATAAGTAATTACGTAATTTTCCAAATTAAAATGAAACATTTGATGTAGGACAATAATAATTCACTTCGAATGAAAAATTGTTAAAGTATTATTTTTCATTATTTTTCTTTTTAACAAATTTTCAAATAGAATGAATATTTGAATATTTTACTATGCTTTGAAGGATAGGTCAAAACATAACAATTGTTTCTTTGGAATACTCCTTGTGATCCAAAATGTCTGGTCAATTCAATAGAATGCTACGAAACATACAATAGATAAATAAGAAACAACGATTAAAATATAATGAAAGCCAAGTTACTTCCTGTATTGAATACTAGTACAGATAAAATATACTATAAACTAATATACGTAATCTTACATCATAAATACAAAATCTTTGTATTTAAAATACGATATTTCCAGAACATTCTTACCTCAATTAAATTGATATGAGAGAATAGAAGAAAAGATAAAGAAAATATTCAAGATAACAAAAATAGAAGAAAACAAAGAAAGAGAGAACATGAGTCGATTAACTCGTTATCAAAGTTTTTTTGTTGTTGTTGTTATTGTAGTTAGAAAAACATTGTGATCTATCAAGAGGACAGAATTGCAAAGAAAATATATAAATATCAAACATTGTTATCGAAAACGTGGATAACGTTTCTTGCGTTTATGGGTGGTTCGACATGAGAACGGACCAATAGCGTGACACTTTTCGGCGCCTTACCCCCATACACGTGATTCCAGTGAAAAGACGTCATATCGCTGACCCCAAAAGAAAAGAGAATAATACGTGATGTTTAATAACGGTTTCCTATCCGAAACACACCAACATATTTTCCTGTTCCTATCACTTAGTGACGTATACATTTGGACGTTTGATTATCTTAACATACTATAAATCATAAGATACCTATTACAAATCCTTATCTTTTTCTCATTTCTACATATCTGTATGTATATATATATATAAGTAGAAAAGAGAGAAAACATATCCGGCGCGTGTCATCCACATTGTTTTGATCGATTTATTTTCAACTTGAGTCAGTTCCACCATCCTTTAAAAACAATATTTGTGATTAGGTTGCTCGTAAATATTCATTTTTAAGATATAAACATTTCAAGTGTCTTGAACAATAATCATTTGTATGAAAAGCATTAGATTATGATTAGTTTCAATAGAAATAGAATTGTTCTATTTTTATTTAATTAGCTTTATATGAATTATAAATAATTATAACCTACTACGTAAAATTTGTAATATTTTTCTAATACGTGGCACAATCATTGCGATATAATAGAAAAGCAAAGCTCTGTAGAGAGTTCAAAGCTTCTCAGCAAGCACAAACTTACTATACAAAAGAAAAAGCAGAAACGTTTTTTGTTTTGTTAATATAAATCAGATCAGATGTGGAGAGCACTCAAGTTAGGTCATATTAAGTCGATCTATCATCAATCGAACGATAAAATATCTACTTAACGACTTAAGATGTTCTCCAATATGGATACATAAGCCAAATAGATAAGTAAAAGTATTAGAAATCTTGTTGAACCGTTGCAGGTGTTACTACCATGACTCATGAAAATACTATTTGAAATGTATCTTTCCTAGTTTCCATCGTATCATCTATATAACTTCGATAAAAATATTTTCCGTAGTTATAGTATACATATCATATATACAGATATATCTATGTAAACATTTATTTACAGTAGGACCTTGATTCCCTAACGTGATCGAAAAAACAAACGATATAAATCGAAAAAAAATATGAAACGACGGATAATCGAGACTTTGGTAGAATTATTCAATAAATCAATATTGATTTTAACTTTTATTTTTTTCCCCATTGGTAATACGATCTTTGGGACACCCAGTATATATAGATATATAGAGTTGTGTATATAACTAATAACGAAAAACGCTGTTATCGTGTAGTGCTTAAGATATATATATATGTATATATGTATGTATATATAAAAAGTATGTATATACCTATGTATACATGAGACGTCGTTAAAAGAGTGAAAGGAAGATTATTATGAGACAACGCGCCGTACGTTCATAGAATGATGCGCGATGGAATGTTAACGCGTGCGCCGGTAGACCTCTTAGATGTTAGACGCATTAATGCGCTACGAAGGACGCCTTTATTAGAAGCTGCAGGAATTAGAAAAAAAATCTTCATTGCCGCGTTACTTGTGAATATAAGTTCATTTTGTTCCTTTTATGTGATTTGATGAATAGATGCTTGATATTTGGAAGAAAAATTCATTTCTTTGAAAACACTATTTTTCTCATTAAAATAAAAATATAATGATAGAAGCATGCGTACAAATATTTATATACGTATGAATAATATATAAACTGTATGTATACTTATATATTTATAAATGCATATATGAATCATATGTTTATATATTATAATACGTGTTATGTTTATGTAAGTATAATTAGTAGACATATATAGAATAATTAATACAAGTATTAAGATTACTCAAGTATCTTCATTATAGGATCAATATTTCAAGTAAAATCATTGATTAACTTCTTTTCATCTCAATCTTGTCAAAGATTCGTAAAAATATCATTCCGGTCACCGTATACTATATTGTATAAAAAGAACAAAATTGGTCTAGTGAAACATTTTCACTGTATACAATCTAATTACTTTTCATATTACTTACACGTTAGATCCTTAAATATAATGATTTACTACAAGAAAAATAGATAACATTTATATTTTTTAAAAATATTGTATTCTTTTAAAAAGATCGAATATTACCTGTACTAACTTTGATAACCACAAAAAGTAATTACGTACAAATATGGCGATCGATCGTTGATTGGTTGCATTCCTATTTGCAAACAAATTAATCAATAAACATTTATTTCCTCGTTTGTTTTTTCTTCTTTTCTTGTATAGTAATTAGATAATTTTAAGATAAGCTACATTAATGAGAACCTAAAATCTGGAATGTCTATTCGTAAATACAAAGTTTGTAAATAATACAAATATTTTACTATCTAATACATTAATTACTACTAATACTTCAATTAAAAAATTAAAAATCTATCAATTCGGAAATAAAATAATAAACGTTTATACGTATAAAAATACGTAACTTGATTATTATGATTGAAAAATTGAAAGCAATAAATATAATCACTGAAAACTAATAAACTTACGTTTTTAAAATTTATCTTTTTTCTTACATGAAACAACCATTACAAAAAAAACTATAAACTATTTTACCTAATAGAAGTAATTAATGTGCTCGTTTGTGTATTTATCATTGATTTCTTGGCAGTTTTCCATCGTCGTTCTCTTTTTACGTGTTTACGTACTGTCTCTGTTCCCGCTATTCAAAAATACTCGCTCGGTTGCCGTACTAAAAGCTTTAACTGCATGTTGTTAGAGGGCACCAGTTTACGCGACAAAAAATGATATATAATTGATCGTGTAAAAAAAAATATATTATTTCTAGCTTTTTGTTCATTTATTACATTAATGAAATCAAATTATTTCTTGTAAACTCTTTTAATAATTATAACAAAATAACTTAATATAATAAAATATAATTTTATTTATTTGTGAATTCATTTTAAAAACATCCTTTTAAAATAGAATATTGGAAATGAATTTAATTGGTTTATTTAAAATGACTACTATCTTTTTTAACGCTGATTGGTCCATCCATTGTATACATTCACTTCAAAAATTGGACATATTATTATTGATTATAAATATTAATAAAACTAGTTTAATTGTCGAAATTGATTAATGGAAATAACATTTGATAACAAAATTGTTTATAATTAAGTAAGTTGTATGTGCAATGTTTTAAAGTCCAAACTCATTCATTGAACCAATGACACCACCTACTGGAGTAAAAGAGAAATAGCAAGATGACATGTTATATGACTTCAGTATAAACTTAAACATGGCGCTCGCAGAAATTTGTGGTATTAATTCTTACATAGATTTTAATTCTTCGCAAGAAAAAGATAAATTACCAGGTGAAATCGAGAGATATACAAGAAATTTTATAAATAATGTTCAATTAGCAGTACCACCGTACATAAATGTAAGTAACTATTTATAAATTACTGCACTTGTGAATATGTGTCTGAAATTTTGCTAAATCATGTAGAAAAGTTTTCTACAATTTGCTGTTTTAATTGTACCGTATACAATATTTTCAGCCTGCTGAAAATCTTGCACAAATCTCTTCAAATACCGATGAAACTGGAAAACATTTAAAAATAAAATTTGATCATGGAACAACTACGTTGGGATTTGAATACCAAGGTGGTATCATATTGGCTGTTGACTCCCGTGCTACAGGAGGCCAATTTATTGGTAATGATTATACAATTTCCTAATCAAGCAAGATTATTAATTCAAAAATAGTATACATTGACTATGAGTGTATGTCTTTATAGGTTCACAAACGATGAAGAAGATTGTTGAGATTAATGATTATCATCTTGGTACTTTGGCTGGTGGTGCTGCAGATTGTGTTTATTGGGACCGTGTTTTAGCTAAACAATGTCGTATGTATGAATTAAGAAATAGAGAGCGTATTTCAATTGCAGCTGCGAGCAAACTATTGTCGAATATGATATATAATTACAAGGGAATGGGCTTGAGCATGGGTAAGTTATTTAAAAAAAAAAAAAAAAAACTATTTTTGATTTCAAATATACTGTAGTAACATTAAATTTGTGAATATAATATTTCTACAGGTATGATGCTTGCGGGTTGGGATAAACGTGGTCCTGGAATGTATTATATTGATTCGGAAGGTACTCGAACACCAGGAAAAGTATTCAGCGTAGGTTCTGGCTCCATCTATGCTTTTGGTGTATTAGATTCTGGTTATCGTTGGGATCTAACTGACACAGAAGCTTATGAATTAGGAAGAAGAGCGATCTATCATGCTACTCATAGAGATGCATATTCTGGTGGTATAGTAAGAGGTAAGTATCAATTATTTTATTTTATATTTTAATATTTAATATACTAACTTGATTCTAATCTTGCAGTATATCACATGAAATCGACTGGTTGGGTACACATTTCTGATGAAGATTGCAAAGATTTACATTATATGTATCAAGATCAAAAGCTAGCAGGAAGCAGCAAGTAATCAATCTTTAACGTACTGTATTTTTTCTCCCCATTCTTTACTTAATAAAATATTGTTCTTAGGAATATTTTTACGAACATTTTTTAAAGTGAAGTGCATCACGATTTGTGTTCCTTATATGTATATATACTTTTATTACGTATATATATATWCATCTATTACGTACGATGAATTAATATTTAATTATTAATCTTGATATTACAGGACACAAAATTTCTGATTTTAAATGCATAGATAAAAAAAGAATAATAATATTAATCCAATGCATTGCAAAGAAAAATTTGGGTAAAAAAGCTACATTTTTAACAAACATTTTAACAACAATATTATAATTATGTTTTATACTTTTACATTTCTATTATTTTTATCTTTTTATTCTTTCTTTGACAAGTTCGACTCACTTTTCTATTATATTCTCACATTTATTCAATACTACTAAAGAGGTGCTTTTTTACCACCTCTCTGAAGTTAATAACATACAATTTTTAATTTTTCAAACGAGTTATCCATTAATGTTACTAATCGTGTCTATGTTGCTTGACTTTAGTGACACAATGAGAAATAGGTAATTCTATGTGACTAAGCCATTGACAGCACTTCTATTATTAAACATATATTATTAATTTATCAATAGAATTCATTCGAGTGATAATAAAAGTAAACATTATAATATGTTTACTTGAATATCGTCTAAACTATAGAATTCAAAAATGGCGCTATTTTCTGTACTCCCCACCATTGAAATAAGCAGCAATGTTCATATACGTGACGTCGAGCACCGCAACGCGTAGTGCGGCGTGATCTGTGTCATTACAACGATTGGTTAGCATATTGTACTTTTGTTAAGAAAGAATTTCTTTTGTATTTGAGTCTACATACAGATACAAGATATGTCGAGTACAGAGGAATGTAAATTAAAAGCCGGCCATCCTCCAGCAGGTTAGTTTATTTTTAATCTTTCATTATTTAGCTCATTAAAAAAAGGTTAAACGATGTTTACAAGTACCGTATTCAACATCAATGACGTCGTAATATACATCTTACAACGTGTATCAAGGCCATACAATTTTAAATTAACAATAAATATTATTTGTTATTTTTTAAATCATCAATCCTCGTTTTAGTGAAAGCAGGAGGAATGAGGATTACTCAACATAAAACACCAAAAGAGGATCGAGACGTGAAGCCAAGCAAGGACGTGGATGAGAGCAAGCCTTCAAGCAGGTAACTAAAATACGTCGTATTTTGAATTTATATATTGTTAGATTAATCATGCGTTTTATTTATTTTTTTATTTTTTTTTTTCATTCGATTTAAATTATAAATTACTATAATTAATCCTAATTGGAACAAAATCTGTACAATTTATTTTTGATTAAAGCCAAATCGAAGAATTAGACACATTTTTCAAATGGAATTTCTAAAGTAGTAGAAGATACTGTTGTTACCGGTTGAACAGGAAGGGTAAGGGGAAAGAAAGAAAGAAAGAAAGAAAAAGAGAGGATTTTCAAGATATATGTTCGTCGTAGTAGGTAGTAATTTCTTTTTTTTTTTTTTTTTTAAACGTATACACGTACTATGTATATATATGTATACGAAGTACGATATCTTTCGAGAGGCGTGATAAACAATTCCAACACTTCTTTTTTTCCTTGTATTTGTTTTCGACAAGAAGATTGCGCAATCGAACGTAAATGCACCTAATGGCCTTGTAGTTACTTACATTTATTATAATTTAACGATTATTGTTTGTACAATTTTTATATTGATTTATATATTCAATTTATATTTATTAATATTACATATATTTTATATCCTAAATCAACACAATATTTATACATTAAGTTTCTCTCAAAGTTTGCGCCAATTAAATGAAAAAAAAATTTATGTATTAATTATAAATTAAAAATATAATTCAACATAAGGTTCTTTAAGTAATTCAATATTATTATTATTATTATTATTATTATTATTATTATTATTATTATTATTATTATTATTATTATTAATATTATTGTTATCATTACTGATATCGTTATATTAAAGTCATGATGACGTTAATGTCGTAAGATTAGGTACGTTCAACGTGATCTTTATCAAGAATATTATTGTAAAGATTCGAAAGAAATGAATATTATTATTTTTTCAAATCATTTTTGATCATTTATTTACAGCCCGCCAAAAACTATGATGATCAGCGGTGTACCCGCTAAAGGAAATGCCGATTTTCCGCCGGAAGCTGTGCAACATTTTCACGAGAAACCTACGCCGACGCATGACGCTCGGCCGGCTCACTGTTCACGTCCAATTATCATTCAACAACCAAGGAAGTAAAATTTGAGCGCAAAACGCGCCAATGATTCTGGGGACCATAGAGAGCATTTCTACGGCCCAAAAATATTTTCTATATATAGATGATGATATCTCGAGATATTATCGCACGAATTACGTTCATGCATTTACATATATCATTCGTTGGAAATCTTAAAAAAAAAAAAAAACAAGAAAATATTAAAAAAAAAAAATCAAATACTATACTCATTCTAAGCAAATACTACTAAGCTTGTTTCACGTTGATGATATCTTTTAATTGTAAGTCTTTAAAAGAAGAAAAAAAAAAGATATAAATATATATATAGATATATATATATATATAATAAATATAGTTAAGATATCGTCATGTTATCGTAACTTTTAAGTATATATGTTAAGAAAGATTAGAATAATATTTGGGGACAATTTGTATAACTCTTGACAAGGAAAATAAAATATGCGCAGGAATTTTTTTTCTTTCAAACTTGATAAGTTATTTTTTTATTACGTATATATATATATATGCATTTTTATGTAGAAAACGCGTGATCGATAAGCTTCTGAATAATGTTGAATGCCTTTATTTTTCACCATTCCTTGAATTTAAATCGCATAAAGCGCACTTCGAAAAAAAAAAGCTATTTTTTCACTCTCATATTTCACTATTATTTCATTATAAATGTTAATAACATATTTACTCTCTTTGATTCAATCAAATCATTGATTATATATCGATCATTTAGTATATATAATACTAATGGAGGATTTATTCTATAAAATGATAAATATTAAAATTTAATGCTAACACGTGAAGTAATATTATATTTTTCATATTTTTCTCTAATTAATATAGGTAAGGTTAAAAAAAATATATATATTAATTTAAGAAAAATATGATGTTACTCGAGCAAACTGATATTTATCGTTATTTGAGAATTTTGTTTATAAAAATAATGAAAATATGAATATATATATATATAAATATATCTCGTTTAATGAAAGACTATGTATATCAATAATTATGATATTCAGGTAAATTAAAAAAATTACAAAAAAAAAACATTGATTTTATAAATATATTTTATAAATATAAATAATTAATTGTAATATAAAAACAAATCGTAATATGAAATTTTTATATTTTTTTATTTTCAAGTAATCTACTGTCATAATTACCAGCACGTGTATATATGTATGTATGCATGTATGTATGTATATCATTAGAGCTTCAGTAAATTATGCTCGTTGCTTTTCTTCTCGCAAAAAGTAAATATTACAATATATTACTTTCCTCTCAAACTCCGTAGGTCTGTATTTGTAATCGCAGCTGGCAAACATATGTATTTGGCAGTGTTTCTCAATGAAAAATATTCGATATCATCGTCTTCTCATCTCGTAGTTTATAACACCCGAAATATAAATTTCTTCATTCGATAAATTCAAACGTTATACTTTGAATTTTTAATTAATCGTATAACATCAAACTAATTCTCTTTTATTATCAATCTACCGAATATTATTTTACTAAATTACTTATTGTAATACTTATAAACAATAATTTTCATAAATTTATGGAAAAAAAAAAAATTAAAAAATATTACTCGTAATATTTATATAACAAGTGTTCGTAATACAAATAATTCAACTATAATATATATCAATCAACAATAATTTTATATATAATTTTATTTTATATATATATAAAAAAAAAAGGTAATTAATCAAAGCCTCCTTTCATTAAACACATTGCTAATTATAGATTATTGAAAATAATGATTATTTCGATAACATACAAAATAAGAGAAATATTCATGTCTCTCGTTCTCATTAACATGTTAACACATACAATATGTACACAAATAATCCCCCTACCCTTATGTATTGTATAAGTTCGTTCAAGCGACATCGTTGATAGGCGTGGGTGGCATCGAACATGTCGTCTTGGTAACCGTCATGTATTCTATAAACATAAGCACATTGACGTGTACGAAGAGGTTGAATGAAAAAATTGTCGGACTAGATCATACTTACTGGATCTTCCTTTCCAAATGTGTAATAACAAGACATGAATGCGGCGCGTTACCGCAAGCGCCATTTACACCTGAAATCCCTCGTGTGAGTTTAAACTCAGTAAAGTCTCATCTCATTGATAAGAAAATATCAACTTAGAGACGAGTAAAAGTGAGAGACAACGACGACGAAGACGACGACAACGAAGACAACTGCAACATCCAAAAGGAAGTACGATGTCTGCCAAGAAAAACACCTCGAAGGTTTCCGAGATCGACGCTCACGTCAGCAATCAGTACGACATCATTCGACGTCTTGGCAAAGGGGTGACTCATCCTGCTTCTTAGTGTTATACTCAATCATTTTTCCTTTGTCTTATTATTTCTTCATGTAATTCTTTCTTTGAAATAATATATTTTGTTAATTTTTTTCTTTTTTCATTTTGATATTATGTATATGTGCCAATAATTATAATAGTGGGCCAGTATAAATGAAAAAATTACCTAAAATTTACTTAATATTAAGATTATTCATTATTATTATTATTATTATTATTATTAAGTGGCATTAAGAACTCGAAAGTTCATTGCCGATTAAGATTATTCATAGTTGAAAATAAATTGCAAAATAAGTTGTTTCAATTAATAAATTATAGGCACATATTTAATGTTCATTCAAAATGCGAATAATTATATTTGCGAATTTATTTTATTTGTTTTTTTGTTTCTTTATATATTTAATATATTTATCACAAATATAATATTTATAAATGTTAAATTCTCTTTACATTCTCGTATCGCTATATATATATATATTTCTTTTTCTTTATTCCAAAATATTGGACAATCTTTTTGATGAATACCAAATTTACATTTTATCAAATGAATTTACTCTTTTACATACATACGTGTATGAAACAAAGCACGTGTATAGTCGATTAAAGTAGAGGTCACCTGTATCACTTCCTGTATAGTTAGGCTTATCGGTGAATACGTACGGAATTATTTTATTTTTGTTCATTTTCATTTTATTTGTCTTTTATTAATCTGAAAATCTCTTTTTAATTTATTACTTTTTCAAGTATAAATTAAATAAAACACGTTAGGAAAACGTTTGATTTTTCTTTCCTTTGTATCAAAGTAAATTCATAAACAAGTTATGAAAATTCATTTTACATTATATCTTATCTTATTTTTTCAACTACTTTTCATTTTCCTTGTAAAACGCTTGAAACCTAGCGTATATTATATAATTTAATTTGTTTCTCAAGATAAAAGGAAACTACGGTAAAAGAATTTAATTAACTGTTACGGATATTAATCATTATTTAAATTTATGTAAGTAACAAATGAAATGTAAATTTTAAAAGATGATATATAGTAGGATCAATAATCGCATAGAAAATATAAACTTGGAGACAATCGATATGAAAACAGTTTGGTGCCATCGCCATCACCGTCGCAACGAAAATAAAACGACCATTCGTCGTCATTCGTCATTCGTTTTAATTATGCATACATATATAATAAGAACTAATCGACCTAACTCGATTATAAATACAAAATCAATTTCTGTCATCATAAGAAATACTGCTGATAAACGTTTATCGATCAATAGAGTCTACAAGCAAGCAAAGACCTTCTCTTTTGACATGACATTGAAAATAATTATGTTGACCTTATAAAATAGAGAATAGAAAGAAAGAAAGAAAGAAAGAAAAAAAAAAAAGAAAAGAAGATAATTAACGACGTACATCGTGTATTTGTCCGTTCATCTAATTTATCAAACTTCACTTTTATATTAATAGTAAACTTATCATGTTATCAAAGTTTTTTTGTTGTTGTTAATGATATAAACAAAAAAGTTCAACTGAAATACTTGAAATTAGGTTGTGTCTTCTACTGTACGGGCTGCTAATAAGTGCAGCATCAAAATTGCATCGAAATTGATTTTTAATTAAAAGAAAAACAAAACAATATAAAATTACAGGTCCAGAGTGGGATATTTGACATGCTATAACTGCATATGTTCGTCATATGTAAAATACGCGGTATTTTATGGAGGGCCACTATAGTGGCCCGTAGTATCTCAGTGGCATCTTATGGAGGGCCACTTATAGTGGTCTGTACTAATGAAAGGGTTAACTAATTATTATTAATTGAATCGAATAACTAATATTAATGTATCACTTCGATAGTTTGAAAATTAGAATAAAGATATACAATTCTAATAATATTATAGTAATGCAGATCAATAAGAAGATAAATTTGGGTCAAGGGAAAGTGATGTCCTTCGTCTAATAGGATTAGTTGTTGAGTTAAACATGTCGATTTAAAAAAAAAGTCATCTATCGTTACACTGCCGTTATTCTTATTCAACCTTGTGTAACACTCGATATTAAATATTTCCTTGTATACTTTTCATGTCATTAGATCTTATCAAAAAGATAAGACTGTATTAATCTATAAGATTACTTATTATATTAGCTTTCGATTAATCATCAATAATATTACGAATATTAATTATTAAAATAAATTATTATTTTATTTTGCATAGGTGGATAGATAGATAGATAGATAAAAATAATTATTAAATATTATTAAATTTATTTTAAATTATTAAGGATAATATATTATTTCGGGATCTTAAAGAAATAGGCTAGGATGACCGCAAATGAAAGGATCGCGTTCAGGGATGGGAACACTGCTGGAATTTGGTATTTGCTGCAATGAACTTTCCTAATGCTCCTTGTTCTAAATTCCTAATGTAATTTAACTAAGTAAATAGCTAAATAGTATATATATATATATTAGCTAAAGTAAAATAGCTAAGTTCCTAATGCTAATTAATAATAATAATAATAATAATAATAATAATAATAATAATAATAATAATTTTAAATTATTAACTTATGTAGACAAATTATCTAATAAAATATTATTCATAATTTTATTTCAAAAAATCCAATTAAAATTCATGGAATTTTTCTTTATGTATAAAAATTATTATATATATATATATAAAATATATATAATATATAATAATATTAATACTTATATATAAAAATATTTATAGTACTTATATACTATATAGATGAAAAAGAAAAACATGTATCAAAAAAAGGAATATTTTAACAGGCATACGGCATAGTATGGAAGGCAATTGACAAGAAAACGAAGGAAACGGTAGCAGTGAAGAAGATCTTCGATGCATTTAGAAATCAAACGGACGCACAGCGTACATTTCGTGAAATAATGTTTCTACTATCATTTTCCAATCACGAGAACATCGTACGACTGATAGGCTTACATAAAGCGGACAACGATTGGGACATTTATCTCGTATTCGAATACATGGGTGAGTTTTCCCGGTCCGAAGAAGAATTCAAAAAGGTCACATGCGTCGTTTCTCAGACTTTTGGCCTGAAACACGTTTCGGCCCGTTTCCTCAGAAACCGATCTTCACAACGTCATTAAGAAGGGCAACATCCTCAAGGACATCCATAAGGTCTTCATCATGTATCAATTGTTCAAGGCCATCAAGTATATACACTCTGGTAACGTCATTCACAGAGACTTGAAAGTTAGTATCTCAATTTATTCTTATGCAAATAAAAATATTGAATTGCCCGGAAAGCTCGTATTTAAAAAAAAAACAATGCATAATTGAAATAATAATAATAATATATATTTTGAACATTGTACTGTTTAAAATTCGACACGAAATTTCTGGGGAAACTTATTAATATTTATTGCTGAAAAATATTAATGAAAAGTATAAATAATGTTTTGTGAACAAAATTTAACAGCCATCTAATGTTTTGCTGAACGCTCAATGCCATTGCAAGATAGCTGACTTTGGCCTAGCACGATCTGTCACACATATCGGTGAAGGTGACGGCGAGACCGGAAGCGATCCAACTCTGACCGATTACGTTGCTACAAGATGGTATCGTGCACCGGAAATATTGATTGCCTCAAAAAGGTATTCCATGTATATATATATACATCTCGATTACATTTAACATCATTGCTTGTTAATTATCGATCGATTCATTGGATTTACACCTTTTACACTTGACACATTTTTTATTGAATTCTATTAGATCGAGTCATAAAATAACTTCCATTTTTTATGAGACCAAAAATGGCGTTTCTGCGACTGATAAGTGCAAGACACCTTTCATGGTGTTTTTTTTTTTGCACTATTTGCAATTGTTGATCGTATCTATTGGATTTTGCTCCAATATTACCTTTAAAAGGTTCATCAAAGTCGGAAATACGTCGCTGCACTCGGTTCATCTTTTAACAACGTATCTCCAGAACGGAATTTTACAAACCAAAATTTCTGACTGTCCTATCAGTAATCAGTCCTGCACTGTATACGCTGCATATTTTTTCAGTTGCCACCTTAGTCCTATTAGATAGAGAAATAATTTACAACAATAATAAAAATATCGAATTTTTTTTATTTGAAATGTTTAACTTTCAAAAAAATATATCTATGAAAATGAATGAAAATTGTTTCATTTAAGGTACACAAAAGGTATCGATATGTGGTCATTAGGTTGTATTCTCGGTGAGATGTTACTCGGTAAGCCATTATTTCCTGGTTCATCGACGATTAATCAAGTTGAGAGAATAATGGCTACTCTTCCAGCACCAACGGAAGAAGGTAATCAATCCTTTAATTCAAGTGATTTAACCAATGAATAAATAGTTCAAATCCATTTTATAATCTTTGTATGGCTTCATCTCATTAACAAATTTGTCTTGTGTTCTGTTTCAGATTTGATTTCGGTTAGCGCTGGTTATGGTACAAATTTGTTAGAAAAAAGTCCTAGTGGTCCAAAACGTTCGTTAAAAGATTTATTGCCGGAAACATCGAAAGAAGCATTAGATCTTATTTGCAATTTAATAATGTTCAATCCTGTGCATAGACTGACGGCAGTCGAAGCTTTGGAACATCCCTATGTAGCTAGGTAAATAATAACGAACATGTACATTTTCCTTAAACATTCTCTGCTTTCTTGTTATCTCTCTCTCTCTCTCTCTCTCTCTCTCTTCTTTATTTTTGACTCATTATAGATTACACGTTAAATTATTATTAATATTATTCGGGAATAATTACAGAAATAATATTGTATTTCATTAAAATGTATAATAGATATTAAAATCTAACGTAAACAACGATTCGTGTAATGCATAATTTTATTAAACTTTATATATGGAAAATTATTCAAGGTATTTTTGTTTTTTGAATAAAATTTCTATCTATTAGAAATTATTTTTCAATATAACAAATGTGTTTCGATAGAACGAAAAGAAAATTTTACAATTAATGAATTATTTTGTTATTATTAAAGCTTATGCATAATATAACGAATCGTTTCGTTAATACTATTATATTTTTAGTTATAATATATATATATAAGTATATATTATATTGTATATTATATAATTTTATTATTTATTTACTTTGTAAATTACTTATTATAATTATTTATATTATTTTTATAATTATTTACTTTTTAAAATTATTTATTACATTTATTATATAATTTGTGTTTAAAAAAGTAAAGTTATATTTATAAGTAAATATAATTTTACTTTTTGAATAACTCTTAAGTTATATTTTATTTTTATTTTTATTTTTAATTCGTAATATTTTATTGTAACAAACATAATAGTTGATAAATTTCGTGAAAGTGCATTCAAATGGAATAAATTGTTATACATTTATAGGAAAAAATTGCAATATTGTCCTTTGTATATTGCAACTTTAATAAAAATTATGAAATATCTGTTTCTTTTCTCTTTGCAGTTTTCACAGAAGAGGAAACGAGCCTTCAAGAACAACCAGCGTAGTGCCATTGCTAAGAGACGACGTACAACTCTCAGTTGAGGAATACAGAAATAAGCTTTATGCGATGATGGATGAAAAGCATAGGAAACATAAAAATATGCGAGTATCCTTATTTCCATTTGAATCTTACAATCTAATTGTGTCTGATTTATTATTTATATCACTTGAAAGCTTATTGTCATTTCAAACTCTTAGCAACTATTCTTAAGAATTTGAAATGTTTCCATATACGTAGGAAATTTCTCTCTTATTTGTTTTAACAAACATTAGACATATATATATATATATATTTATATGCATATATAGGTCGAAAGCCAGAGTTAGACGTCTCTCGGAACATATCAGAAAGGAAACCTACAATTCTACAAATAATGGAAACTTTGTAGTTGGTCAAGGTGATGGAACAACTGGTAAAAATCTTCGTTCCTCGTGCGGTGATCTGCGTAATAACAAAAATAGTCAACAAACTAACGGTAATCTCAAAAAAAAAAAAAATTGATGAATTAAAGTATTACGTATTTTTTATCAATTATTTTCAAACAATCGTATCAAAGAAAAAGAATTAAAAACTACGCGAATATTATTTTTTATTTTTATAAAGAGAGAACATTTTTGAATATTCCTAATACATTATTCATAGGTCAACTATCGTCGAGTTTTCTCATTTTTCCTATCGAACTTGAATATACAATTTCCATATAAACTTTAAATAAAATATAAATGAATTTATTGATAAGTTTTTCATTGCTACGAATTTTTCAGATACAATCTTTCATAATACTAATTTATTATTTTATTATTGATCTTGAAATGTTACAATTTAATATCTTTTCAATAACTTTTACATTTTAACACGTACTTTACTTATTTCAGATTTTTTTTTTTTTCTAAATTCAAAGTCAAAATGAAGAAACAAAATGATGTTTTTTAATTACTCATACTATAATGCTTTGATTTTTTTAGTTTTAATTAACTACGAAATTGTTCTGAAAAATTATTAGTTTATTTTCTTTCTATTAATATTAACGTCATGGATTATACATTTGCGTTTTTTAAAGCACGAGCAAGTTTGGCAAATAGAAAAGTAATAGCGGTGTCGCAAAGTCGTTCATGTGACGATAATGTTCAAATTGGTAATACGAGGATAATAAATACGTCAGGAAATATATCGATACAAGATAAATCAAAGAATACTCGACACAATGGTGAGATTAATATTGTTTAGTTATTTAGAAAAAAAGAAGAAAAAAAAAACAAGAAAATTCTACCAACGTTTTAACGTGATATTTTTCATTATTCATTATGAACAAATTTTAATGCGAAAACTCGACGTATTTTTAATTAAAATATAATATTTGAACTTTGTTGATCTTAAAATGGTAAATAATATGATCAACAATTAATAAATTTGAACATTTTTATTTACTATTCGATTACAGGTAAAAATCCAACCTCTCAATACGCTTATAATCTTTCGAACGGTGATTTAAGAAATTTACCAGCAGGAACTACTAAAAGTTGTCTTTGTCTGAGTCAACAAAATCAACACCTGTCGAAGTCACAACGATCAATACAATCAGATCAACTAGCAGCGGTAAGAAACCGAAACATTTCATATTTCAGTGATAATATTTCTGCCTGTTTTGTTTGTATATCTCTTTATTTCTCTATACTTTCATTCTCAAAACTATTTATCTATTTATTTATCTGTATTTATTCCCATACCTCTTCCTCCTCCTCCTCCTCCTTCTCCTCCTCATACTGTTCTAACGATAGTAAACAAAACAATTCTATCGTTGCAGGCTACTTGTCGCGTGGGATTTGCTTAGGTATCGTACACCATTTAAACGTAGCTTACACACATTCATTCTCGCACCACATATTTGTTTCACTTCCTCATTTATTTTGTTCATTCGCATGATTCTCACTCAAATAATCTATCTCTTTAAACAATATTCCGTTTAACTCGTTTCGTTATTTACATTTTTCATATACAGGTAATCCACCTATAACACGGTAGATAGGTTCCTAGCAATTTCCATGTTTTATGAGACCTTAAAGGGGAGTTACATTCCGAAAACTTATTAACCCCTTAAGCAGCAATGAGATTGAAAAAAAAAACAGCCAACCAATATCATTTTTTTTTTTTTATTTTGCATAAAGACATAGTTTAGAACATTGTTTTGACAAAAGAATGAGAAAAATACAGAAATAGTCAATATTTTTATGTTAATTTTGGATTTTGTTCCACATTACAGAGAAGAGCCAAATATTGCAATGTTACACGTACTCCGACTTTTTAATCTTTCTTTTCGAATTACTTTTTCGGAAAAATACGATTCTTTATCTTTGCTTTCACATTCTTATTATATTTAAGTGTAAAAAATCATAGAAATATAAAATAATAGTGCTGCTTAAAGGGTTAAAAACAAATATTTTTATGTTTAAATCTACACAAACAATTTAAAAATCTGGGTTGACAGTGGATTCTCCAAGTAGTACTTTAAGATCTTTGTAAACTTTGAGTGCTTTTTATTTAATAATATTACCATCCAATATGGAATTATTTTTTGATAACTATCATCCATCCAAATGTTGCGTACCTTTTCTTTTATCATTTCAATTATTGGCACACGGGAGCGAGTTGCGGATATCAAAAATTCTGCAACAACTGCACTTCTTATTTATTTTTCATTTTTCTTATTAGTTCTGGACGGACTGTTGTTTCATTCAAATTAAAACTTTTTCCAATATGAGATTTTTCATTTGAAAAGACGATCCAAGACTTGTATCTTTACTTTCAAAGCAATAAATTTCCTCTTAAACGTTATTTTTTTTTTTTTTTTATATCTTTTTTTATCGGACATGGCTTGAGATTGAAACTCAATGTCTTATTAAAAACGAAAAAGTTATTTTTTTAACACACCGTGACTCGACGCAGACTGTCGCAGACAGCAGCATGAGACACTTTTGTTTTCAGGTCACGGAGATAAAAAGAAATATTTTCTGCAAAACAAAAGTTTTGTTCAATTTGCTTATAACACTTACAATTAGTATTACTTAATCTTATTACATGTTCAATTTCACAAAATCATTGGATAAAACGATAAAACTGTTTGATTAGTATTGAAAATTGTTATTCCAGTACGGTGCCAATATAAGAAACAACCAATTAGAAGGAGTAGCACGTACTAAACTGCGAAGAGGAAACTGCGATAGGCAAATACGTTCGACTCAGCATCATCATCATCATCAACGTCCACCGATAGTAAACAATAATATCGATCGATCTAACACATCTAAGTTGAATGAGACAAACAATTCGAAACTTGGTTTATTAAGGTATAATAAGTATTTAACTACCATGTTAAACAACAACAATAACACTAACAATAATAGGATAACGAAACACTTTGTAACGACATCTCCAAGTAACAGTAACATTTTGAATGGGATTAGTAATAGTAGTAATAGTGGTGGAAGTGCAAGCAGTTCGGAACTTTATGCTCCACGAAGATCAAGTTCGCAATATCAAATTGTTAAAAATTATTTAAATCAGTCCTTACCACTTCATGCATCGTCAGCTCAAAATCAACATCGGCATCAGCATCGAAATCAAAATCAACAGCAGCAGGAACAACAATATCATTATCAAGAACGCCAAAGTGAAACTCGAGGATCAGAAAAAGTTCTATCAAAATTAGAAAAGTTGGATTCAATCGATAAGTATCGTATTAAAAATTTCACATTGAAGAAACCAGAGAAAACGAAGATTCAAACGAGACACAGTTTAGGTGGATTAAGTGTTCTCAATAATGAAAAGAATTCGATCGAAATTAACTCGCAAACTATCGATAGTACCAATCAAGGTCATGGTATTATCAACGCTTCTGTTTACAAGGATTTACGTAATGGGATTATAAGGTGGTGATAAATGAATGAGAAAAACTTTCGAAAGAAACAATGAAAGTACAAATGTAAAAGTGAAAAAGAGAGAGAGAGAGAGAGAGAGAGAATAAAATAATAGGATAATTCAATTCTATATAAAATCGAACAGCAAATAGAATCAAATTTTAAATCAATTACACAATATATCATTCACAGAAACGAATCATTCTTATTCACTTTTATGTCTTTATATCTCGAAAATAATTTTCTTCTGAATAGACGTATATATATATAAAAATTTATAAAAAAAAAAGGAAAAAAAAACAACAAATAAAATAAAAATCTAACTCGTGTGAGATTTGAAAATTGCAAATATTATATTCTCATACTTTGATATCTTCAAAAGTAACGTATATAAAACTTGATACTGTATAATGGATACATAAATTTACATTTATTAGAGAAAAAAAAAAAAAAAAGAATGATAATAATGAAAAAAAGTTACTTTCTCTCGCATGATGATGTGTTTCACATTTTTGATTGTGTATCTTTATAGAATAACTTATTATTGTTAGGTATAGCCTTTTAATGTCCATTAATTCACGTGATGTTTCATTGATACATAATTTTGCGTGAGAAAGTCTAATGATAAAGCTTATCAGATCATTCGTAAAGATATATGGATGATTAACAGTACTTTGAAAGTCTTTTTTTACGAACCTTTTTATAAGTCCTTCGCGTTTGCTATATATCGCTGTACCAAATATAATTAAAAAAAAAAAATAATAAATTTGATAATCTCTCGATCGATCTCGTAAATAAAGAAAAAAAAAAAACATCGAGTCGGGAGAATATAAGTCGTCTAAAGTGCATATTGTAAGATATACATTTTTTTTTTTTTTTTAATAAAAAATACAAAGACAATAAAAAGTATCGTCTGCGATATTTGTGTTCATAATTATGAAAATGATCTAATGTAAGTCATGTATCTCTTGTTTCGAGATATTTCAAGATTTCTATTTGAACACTCTATACGAATTCTATGTAATATTGAAATAACAAACATTACACTGGTCTGCAACAAAATACTTCTTCAAAAAATGATGTCATAAATATGAAGATTTTGATGCTATGAATCTGTTCCCGATGGCTGATTTTTTCTATCACGTCACCTTATGTTCTTAAGGGAGGGTAACGTTAATTCGTACAAAAAAAGGCATGTTTTTGTGAATTTTTTCTGACGACACAGTTAAAATCTCTTTATTAAAACCAATGGTATACATTAAAGTATGACATTCGAAAAATATTGTATAAAATTTTCACGTCCGAATAATTGCTGCCATTGCCGTATTTTTAAATATTTCTTCGTGAAAATTGTATACAATATTCTTCAAATGTCATACTTTAATATACCATATATTTAATATATTATATATTATATTTAATAATAATTTATAAATATCAAAGTTTTACTTTTGCATTTTTTTTTTTTTTTTAAATTCAACACGAACCATCTCTGGCAACTCAATCATTTTTTTTTTGTTGTCCCCTTTTATTTTTGTTGTTTTCGTTTGTCCCGAAAGAGAAGTCATTTTCTTCACGTATATAAAAGACGAGGTAATGTTCTATCTCAACGATCGAACCCTCTCGTACATGCTAGAAACCTTCTGAGACCTCTTATCATGTCACAAAGTGGATCCCTTTATGGCTTCTCTCTCGTTTCCTTTCCTTTTTTTCTTCGTCAGCAATAACATGAAACATTCCAATAAAACATCTACAAATTGAGAATGATGGAAAATCTCTCATCATACCTTGGTCAAGAGTTTATCTCATGTGTTTCTTGATTCCAAATTTCAAGGATAGAAGAACGAAAGCATTGCAAACTCTTCAAACGTGTTTTTATCTCGTGCGTAACAAGATTATCACGCTCGAATTTCTCGAATTAAAGGATTGTTCGGAACATTGGAAAAAAGACGAGAGCATCGTTTGATTTCTAATCGTTCTTTCTTTTCTTTTTCTTTTTTTTTTTCTATATTATTAACCCCTTAATCAGCACGCTCGAATTAACTCGAGTTAACGAGCGCACTAATTCGGCCGATTTCCGCACGCTCGAGTTATGGAACTATGAACTGATTTATAATTTTAATAATCATCAATATGAAAAACTTATGAAGTTTCACTTATTGCTCTTTTCTTTTTTCAATATTGATTCATTCAAGAGAAATGTCATTTATTATTCTATTGCAGAAGTATCAAAGTTTTTTTTACCATTGTTTTTATTTAAACTACATTATTTACATTTACGTGAGCAAATGATATAATATCTAAAAAAAAAAAAAAGAAAAAGAGAAACAAAAACAACACGAGAATATTAATTAAATAAAATTAATATTAAATAATTATTATTTAATAAATATATTATTAAATAATATTATTATTATATTATATAATTATATATATAAATAAATAATATAATAAATATTATTTTCACAATTAAATATTAAATAAAATAAAATAAATAAATTCTAAAAATCGTATTAATTATTTTTTCATTTCAAAACGAAAGGATATTAAAAACAATGAATATGTCAAAAGTATATTTAAATCATTAAATATATTATAATTAATAAATTAACGTTAAATAGTCCAATTGACAGGAATGTCACAATAATATATATATTATTAATCTTTATTCAAAATACACGGACACGATATGCTTTACACAAAGTAAAGTATAAATGATATCTCCGAAGTTTCACGATACTTCTTAAAGCTTTAACATTTTATTTAACCACGCACAGTCGATATATCGTAATCGATGTTAACCACGTTCGTAACGGGGGGCCTGAATTTTTATACCATTAATGTACTATACCACTAAATGGTTCAAATCGTTGTATGTATGAACGCGTTAATAAAAATCCGATTGTTCGATTTGATTCAAAATATAATGATCGAATATGCAATAGTATCGTTGAAAGGAAAAAATACCATGAACAAATATTTACATGGTCTGTAATTGATAGTATAATATTAACAAGTTTCCTCGGAATCTTGGAATCCTTTAAATGAAATAATTGCTTATCGAGGATCAAATTAAATCATTGGAAAAGTTTTCATAATGAAAATACTCGTTATCGTTTTATAATTAATTAAAACATCAGATACAATGCTTCTATTTATTTTTTCGAAATTCTTCTCCTTCTCTCTCTCTTTCTCTCTCTCTCTTTCTATCACGTAATTCCGACATCGTATTTACACCGATATATTCTTCGATCATATCTTCTTCCAACCGATCAATAAAAGTTCCGATGAAAACTTAACGGCGAATAACGGCTAGCACGAGGAGACATTAAATCATGTTATTTTTTGATGTAACGATCAATCGGTAATACGTAGATATAATACTACAAGGTTATGTTAACCATTTGACCTAGACGCTAAGTTCAAGATGGCGGTGCCTTGCGCTATGTTTTAACCAGCGCTACAGTGTCCCATTCTCACATTTCGAAGTGCTTCCGTAAAACCAAGATTTTGACATGTTTAAAATGTTTTTTTTGCTTCGGAACCAAGTGCATATTGTTTTTAGATGTCTAAAGTACACTTTAAGCTAAAAAAAAAAGTCGATTTTTTGACAATTTTACAGTGGTGTTACCCCTAAAGCAGCGCCTCAGTGTGTGGGTAGGTCCTATTGGGATCTCTAGCACTTGAATACGCTATTTGATGGTTAAATTCAGAACTAGAGCAGTTAGGAGGAATTGCTGACAGTTGATTTAAACTACACAATATTTATATGTGGAAATATTTTATATTTTTAATTTTATGACTTGCACCAGTTATTTCTTCATGTAGATTATCTTTAATATGTGTTGAAGAATATTTTATTATTTCATTTCATTTACAATTACGACAATAATAAAAAGAGAATAAATAGGCTGGACGTAAGAGAGAGAAAAAAAAAGAGAAAAAAAAAACAAACAAACAAAAAAAAGAACAAAAAAAACGACAAGGGAGTCGTTTCCTTTTTTTTTTTTTTTCGTAGAAACAACCCATAAAACTCGCGATCACTCTCGCGTTAATTTCTTTTCTCTAGCCGCAACCGGTAATTTAGCACGTTAGATCGTAAAACTTCAAGGTAGGAAGAAATAAAGCTTCCTTTCTACCCTTTCCAAAAAAGCTAATGGTTTGTTATTTTCCTTACTTTTATCCAATACTTTCGCACAATCCTATCACATGCGATATATAACAATCAAGCTGACCACAATATTTCGAATAGAGTGAATTTCATTTGAAACGTCGGGAATCAAGTTCAATTCAATTTCGATTTTTTATCGAACGATTAATCAATTAATTTATTGAATTACTTTTTAAACGTTCATCGTTGGATAAACAATTATTTAAATTGCAATAAATGAGCCGTTTATTTTGAAAATCGTCTAACTCCATATATGTTTGAATGGAGATATTGAAAGGGTTTGTGTTTCACAATGCAATTAAAAATAAAAGTACTAGATACTAATGAGTCATACTACTTGAGTGTATCTAAAGGAGTTCAATTTAGAATTCCCTGTTAAAATAATGGCAATTATTAAACGAATAAAATATGCATTTTCTTATCAAGAATGGAAATAGGTCACTTTCAAAGTTAACAATCTAATTTGTTATAAAATTTTGAAGAAGCCCAAATCCTTTGAACATAAATTAAGGTGATTTAAATTGAAAAATAAAAAGAATACTCAATTTATTTGATATATATATCTTTAACAACATTTCAAAAACATTATTTAGATGATTCTAAAGATTTGATAATTACATCAATTACAGAACAATTTACTGTTCATTTACATTTTGCGTGTGTGAAAGGGATTTGAAAGAAATCATGATATTCCAGTGGTATATGTCGCGATAGGTTCATTATGTCCTTGAATTTTGCTGTTGTAATTTGTCTGATATTTTTATACAGTAAGTGTCAATATAATATTGTCGAATTTTTTTAATTTACCTCATTCATGGTAATAAATTCAGGATTTTCAAATTTTCATTCTTCATGTCATCGATGTCTTATAGAAAATTTGATATGGTTCATTTTTGACAAAACGTATTCAAACATATTTTTAATCAATTTATCGATTCTCCGTAAGAATTCTGTACCCTTTTTAAAAATACCTTTTTTAATAATTTTGTTCATACCAAAATCTTCTTGTTTCATTTCATGTACAATAAAGTTCTTACCTTTCCGGTATTTTCCGATAATATTACAATAATCTTTGGGGGATAAACGATAAGTAATTTTTTTTTCAATGACATTTCTACCACGCCAAAATCTCTATCATTACGTGTAATGACGGATAATCGAAAAATAATAATTGACAAATGGAATTAGGCCACTTTCAAAAGAAACTTTATCATCGTTTCATTAATCAACAAATTTTCGTGTTACCAAATCTTCATGATTTTATATAAATAATATTAACAAATTACTCTTTCAAATGAAAAGATTATGTAAAAATGTAATTTAATTAAGGTAACAAATTCAATTTTTTGGGGGGGGGGTGGGAATGGAGTTAAGCCACTTTCAAAATAAACGGCTTATTATTAATGTTACATTTGACGTATTTAACAAAATATTATAATAAAAATAAATAAGAGCCAATTAAAAATGAATGAACGTAAATATACAATATATTAATACGTATTGTTTTCAATTAGTTTAATTAAATTAGAAATTTGAATTTTGAATTAGAATCACCTGAAATAATTAATTACAGCGTCGATCGTCCATAGTAACAAGAGTTGATTGACGTGGTTGACTTGCTTCAGCATCATTCTTGTTATAACTCTGATGTCTGTCTCCAATAACGTCAACTGGTTTCGGTTCTATTTGCATTTGCGCTGGTCCCCCAAGATTTCTCAACATGTAACATCGACGATGAGGACTTTTCTTACTATAAAAACTATTATAGCCACTACTTGATGTAGCTGTTTCATGAGCTCCCATTGGAATACAGCAAATAGGCAACATCTTTCTTTGACGCAGATAGGTTCGTTTGTTATCACCGACCATACTGCATCCTCCACATGCATTACCACCCATCATACCTCGATGAATATCCTGCAAAAACATTTCCATCGTATATCAATATTAAATATGCAATCATTAGAAATGATTTTTTAGTTTCTACTTTATCTTTTAGAAACTGATTTCTTTTCTTCTGCTTTTTCTTTTTTCTATGTCGAAAAAAAAACATCCAATTCTATAACACGTAAAACTAACAGTTTTAATTAACAAAATGAATTGTAAAAATGAGAAAAATACGCGATACTTAAAACTCTTTGCACTCCCTACGTCGAGAGTATCAGTTTTTATCTCAAAAAAAAAAAAGAAAAAAAAATAACATCCTACATTTGAAAATTACGTAATACAACAACTGTCCATATAAAACAGATATTTAATTAAATTAAATTTTTTTTTTCTATCTTTCATTACATATTTAAATTGCCATATTTTTCAGTTAAAGTAAACTACGGATAAAACATTTTAAAAAGCATTGAAAACTGCCGAGAAGAAAATGAAAATTTAATACGAAGAGCAAAGGGTTGATAAATCTACGTTTATAATTATTCATTCGAAATTAAAGCCAATGATAAAAGAATATGATACGTTATTCTCTATATTATCGAGAGAACGTATTTATATATAATTCTAAAAATATTACTAACATAAATTATCGATATAATTCAATTTTTCGTTAATAAACAGTTCAATTTTACAAAATAATTCAACAGAAGTTTAAATTACTATTTCGTTTGAAAAACGTTAATATAATTTTCAGCCCCACAATCTGTTTGACAGTCACGAAATTGCTATAATTTTAAATACTGAATGTTGGGAATTTGTATTAGGGTGTCGCTTGATAAAATCGCAATATTCTCTTTCTCTCTCTCTCTCTCTCTCTCTCTCTCTCTCTTTCTCAATCTTCCTCACGAATAACACGAAAGCTCGTAAATTGAAGGAACATTCGCCATATTGATCATATAAATTCCACACAAAAAAAGCCTAATATTAACACACTATAGGCGGGTCGGGTATTTCTACCCGTTCCACAGACTGACGTTGGTCGGCGGGTCGCGTATTAATACGTTTTATGCAGAACCTAAGCTAAGTTTCAGTAAAACACTTACTAATGCTTGTTTTTNTTTTTTTTTTTTCATTGTCACTAATTTTTAAGCAGGAATGATGTTTTTGGTTGTTTTTTTTTTTTTTTGTAAAGCCTGACCAGTGTTTAGTCCTAAATTTACGAATTTTTAAGAAAAATTAATAATTTGATGAAATGTGTTATTTTAACGCTGCAAATTTTGTGCTTACAAAGTAGCATAAATTCAGTTGATTGATTTTGATAGCATTGAGTTTAAGTTTTCTTACATCTTCGAAATACTATTTGATAGCTATTTTTCAAATTTCATTGAAATTCTACTATTAAATGTGAAGATATAACATATTTTGTAAAAAGTGCACTGCTTTCATATTTCGCTCATTTTCGGTCGCTACACGCGTGAGTCAAGCTCATGACGTTCATTATTTACATTTAACAATTATAACGAGAAATCTATTATTATTAATTAATTAGATATTACTGTCTTGTTATTTCTTGATTACATATAGAAATATATGTTGTAATTCATAACATTTCGCATGTATAATAAACACAGAGAGATATGTACGTATGATGAAAGGGGTTTCTCCTAATATTAGGGATGTTTATGCTACAGGGATGTATAATATCTAGCTGTATTTTGTAATTAGTAACATCAAACAATAATAATAAAGCCATGAATTGTAGAGATTCGAGCAATGTGTAGAATTTAATACATTAGGCGAAAATTGATCTTACAATTAATTCTCAATTTGTAATTCCCTTTATTAAGAACCCGTCGTAAGATTTCCATCTTAAATTTCTCATTGTATTTATATTTTAAAAGAGAACATTTCTGTTTCTCGAAACATTCTCTCTCTCTCTCTCTCTCTCTTTCTTTCTCTCATTTATACAGTTTTTAAATTCTTTCATTGATTATTTCATGATATCTGATTTTCAAATGATTGTTCTAGAATCAAATCGAATTTTTATTATTTGTCACATGGACAAATCAATGTTTTATTTTCTTCTATTAAAGATGAACAAACATTCGAAGCTTAACGATTGGATTGCATAGGTCAATGTGTCTAGACACCTTAGAATTTGTTCTGATTAAAGAGGTTATCAAAGAGACGAATGAAACCTTGATACTTAACTGTATAATTCGCATCATAGAAAGAGATATACGTAGACATATGTATAAATTTATCTACGAATAAGATTCTTTTTTCAAGGGTAGATCCAATGAATGTGTTTTTCTCTTCTTCTTTTTGTTTTTTGTTTTTTACAAAATCAATATTAAATAAGTGACTTTTCTAGTTTTGACAAATGTTCATGTAATTTTTACTATTTCCATTTATTATTCCATTTTTTTTTTTTTTTACTACCTTTTCATCAGAGGAAAAAAGTCAAAGAGAATACCTTTAAATCGTGAAACCGATATATCATTACCTTGGTATTTCTCTACTAAAAAAGTTCCTTTACTTATCCTTCTTTATATTTGAAAATTCAAATGATCTTTTTTCATCGCAAAACTTTTTGCCATTTTTTCCAAAAAAGAAAAAAAGCTTCAGGATGAGAAAAAGAAGTTCGTAAATTTTTTACGTCGTAAAGATTCTTTCTTTTCTTTTTTTTTTTTTTATACGTTTTTAAATCTTGTTTGCATTGAAATTTGTTACTTTAAAAATTTCTATACTTTAAAAATTTGTTAACCAAACGTAATTTAATATAATTGAAATATAACGATCGTTGATTTTTTAACTATCTTTTTAAATACAGTAAGTATTATGCATAGACATAGATAGAATATAAAAGAAAGATAATATATAATAATATCTAGAAAAATAAATTTACAGATATAATAACAAAACAAAACGATCTTGAACGTTTCTTTATTTATTTTTATTATTCAAAGTACTTTGTTATTCTCATATTATAACTTTTCTTATTATTATTTGATCGTACGATAATAATTTGTTAAGTATTATACTAAGTTGAAATATCAAACGAGATAAAAAAGAAATTGGTTGAAATTGTTCGTTTGATATTTTCTGTTCTTTTTTTGTTTATTTTTTTTTGTTTTTGTTCTCTTTCTTTTTCCTTCAACTTTATATTTGTTTCTTCTTACAAGAAATATTGTTTTTATAAGAACGGATTCGAGAAACTTTCATTTACCGGGTTTCTTCGTGCAACGATGTTGTGTCACTCCCGAAGCTTAACTGTCGTAATTTCATTGCTGACGGAGTAAACAGCAATAATGAATTTATCATCGTGGATATCTTGCATATGAACAAATCTCATCTTTTGCAGCAGCTATTTTCTAATAAATTCAGCTAAATGAAAACGACCAAAAGAAAAAGAAAAAAAAAAGTTTAATGTAATTATTTAACGAATAAATCATTTGAATGAAATCAACAATAATCCTAACGAGGTATCTGTTCTTTTTCAATCTTACTTGTTCGATAAAATTGTTAGACCGTATAATTATTTGTTACCTTTCGTTTGTATTGAAAATATTGAATACATGTGTATTTAATATTTTTTTAATATTTTCTGCTACTAGGGGTGTTTTAAAAAAAATTTAGATCCATGATGTCAAAATTGTATAATTTTGTAAATCAGTAAAGCACCTTTTTGGGATATCCTATTCTTTAAAATATAAAACAGTTGAAAAGTTGGCTGGAGTTCATTTGCCAATAATTTCTGATTGAACGATCGTTATAAATCACTCGATTGATTTGCAATTACAAAAAGAAATTACGTTAGAGAAAAATAACAATTTACAGAATTTTGATCTGTTTATTAAGTAAATCATCACACATAACTATTTATGTAATTTACATATAATATCTATTTCAAGACTGTCCTATTTCCATTGAACGCATAACACATTGTACTCGATGAATATGTACTATCACGTTCGATGATACTTGTCAATAGAAATTGATGAAGAAGGACGAAACGTTTTCAGTTCGTCCTGGAGGACACGAAACGTCACCAATACTATCTCGTTGAACGATCGATTTTGTTGTTSTTGTCGTGAGATGCATTTAAAATCGTATCTTGCGGTAGTAGTATTTTGGAATAGACAATTCTTTTGTGTTATGATTTGTTCCTTTTGAAATGTAACTTTGTTATTTACCATTAGTTACAGCATTCTGTTGCAATGCAAACGAAAAATCGTATTAACAAAATAATTCAATGCTGACAAACTTCAAACTGCGCATACTTGTGCGCAATATTATTACGTGAAAAGTTGATATTACTGTATTATAATATTATATTATATTATTAATATTAAAAAAAAGAAACACACATAAATTACTGTAACAATGGGTATAATTTTTGATTCATAGTAAAGAAAATAAAAAATAATGATCTTAAGTATAAAGGACGTAACGTCTAGTAGATGAGAATGATATATTTCTATTTTGATTGATTCTTTCCAATTTTTGTTAACACATTATCGTCGGGAACGTTGTGAACTTGACTCACGCGTGTAGCGACCGAAAATAAGCGAAATATGAAAGCAGTGCACTTTTTACAATACATGTTATATCTTCACAATTAATAGTAAGATTTCAATGAAATTTGAAAAATAGCTATCAAATAGTATTTCGAAGATGTAAGAAAACTTAAACTCAATACTATCGAAATCAATCAACTAAATTTATGCTACTTTGTAAGTACGAAACTTACAACGTCAAAATAGTACATTTCATCAAATTATTAGTTAATAGATTTAGAACTAAACACTGGTCAGGCTTTATAAAAAAAAAAAACAACCAAAAACATCATTCCTGCTTTAAAAAATTAGTGACAATGAAAAAAAAAAACAAGCATTAGTAAGTGTTTTACTGAAACTTAGCTTAGGTTCTGCATAAAACGTATTAATACGCGACCCGCCGACCAGCGTCAGTCTGTGGAACGAGTAGAAATACCCGACCCGCCTATAGTGTGTTAATATTTATAACCAATTGTTAAATAAACAATTTTACGACATGGTTCGATGTAAATCATTCTTTATTTAAGATGGTACGACTAAATGAACTATGCTTACTTTATGGCGTGGCTTACGACGAGTCAGTCCACGTGATCTACAACGAAGAATCTCTGCAACGCTTCTTCGAAAGTTACGCGTCATAAAGCAATAAACGACAGGGTTGAGTGCACTATTTGCATGTCCTATGAAGAGACAATAGGACAGGGCATCTCTCACCGATTTGCCTTTATCTGCGAATAACATTAACATTTATTTATAACATATTTTATTTAAAACCAATTAATATCTTATCATAGAAATTACTTTTATTTTTGCTAATTTGAAGATCATTTTTATTTGTCTCTTATTCAAAACATAAATCAATATTTTGTTCATCAAAATAGGAAACTTAATTAAACATAATTATATAAGTACGTTTAATTATATTTATAAATACATTTTCATTAATTATCAATTACATTCTGATAACAAATCAAATATATAAGTGATAAATATTCAATATTTAATTGATTGTATGTGGGTGGGTGTGAATAACATTAAATTTTAAATAAAAGTTAATGTTAATTCCTTGAAACAACGCGCAGTACAAGAAATTTATCTATCGTTATGACTTATTTATAATTGTTCAAAATTTTAATAATTAACAAAATATATTTCATGAGAGAACTTACCGACTACTTTGAGATCGACGAGCAATCTAAGGACATTGTAAGGGAGCCAACAAAGGGCGAAAAGTACTGCGAGAAGCAACAATATCCAAGCGATTCGTCTTCTCTCACGTACCAGACGGAAATTCTACAAGCAAACAATTAAAAACTATTATTGTCTCTATCAAATAAAAAAAAAAAAAAAGAAGCTTCTATCACATTAATCCGAGATCATTGGGGGAAAAAAAAAAAATGATTGATCGTTTAATTTCAAAAAAGAAAAACACAAGGATAATCTTGCTTTAAGGAAAAAACAAAACATCATTTGTGCAGATCACACGTGTTACAAGTGAAACCTTCTTAAAGATTTATAATATAAGCTTATATTATTTATATAAATTACAAACAAGCGTTCTTTCAATTCAAACGACGAACATTCAATCGACTATTGAATTCAACAGAAGGAAGAAACTAATAGAAAAGGAAATAAAACACTACTTTTTACTAACTTGTTGCGAGCTAGCACTACCCTTGACACTGTCACAGTCAAACGGTGGTTTTCTGGCACAAAGGGTTCGACCCATCATCGAATAAGCCAATATCACGACAAAACCTGACAAAGGAAGACATTATTGAGATCGAAACATAAAGACAACAAGCTACAGGTTAAAACCTTTATTCTAAGAATACTCGTTACGTCCAATTTTTATTCTACAAAGATTTTATTATAAAACAGTATCCTTATTATATTATTATAAATAAATAGAAATATAAAATTTACGTTGAGAATAAAACATCTATTACAATTGTATATTTGCAATATTATTTATTATATTACAAAGACGGTAATACGTAATTTTGTTAATTGGATCAAAATTATTTTATTATATAAAAATTATTTTTTTATCTTCCAATTTATTTATATTTATAAGGAAGATTCTACTCTATCGATTACCGTTAAAACAAGAAATGGCAAGTAACTTTCTTATACAAAGATTTCATATCATAATAATCTGTAGAATAATTATTTTATCTTATATAATTTTTAATAAGAAAATGAAATTTGATGTTCTATTTTTTGTTTGTTTGTTTGTTTGTTTTATCCTTTAATTCACGTTCAAATTTTCTTTCTCTGATATTCGTTGAAGAAAAATTATTTTGATTATCATTCATTCGTTTGTTTAAACTGGCAATCAATCATTTATTATTATTGTTTATTTATGTTAAGCAATAAAATAAAAATAGTACATACCGGGAATAGCATAAACGAAAATAAAGCAGGCGGTACCAAATAAATCGGCATCAATACCAAGTGGATTCAAATCTTCTGAGCATATGTAAAATGCTGGTGGCAATCGTGAAGCTCGAGTATCGTTGCTTGAGAAATTTTCTTTCAACGCCCAAGAACCATGAAGAGTAATATTAACAACTTCTGTTCCAGGACTTTGAAGAGTCATCTGTTAAATGAGAAACAAAATGCAAAATTTCGTCTAATATTTTATGGATCGATAAAAATGTCTTGAATGAAATGTCTAAATGAATTCTCTTTGTATTTCGTTTTTGATTCGTAATTTTGTTGTTATAACGAACAATAATAATAATAATAATATATTTCTATACTTTAATTGTTAACTATTATTATTTTTAGTAAATTTTTCGTTCAGAGATTATTTTTATTTTTTATTTTTTTTATTTTTTTTTTTTTTTAATAATAAATACGAGAATTAGATATAATATGTCGGGATTACAAAGATATGTAATTTTTTTGTTATAAAAAAACATTTCAAAGATTTATTTATAATAGGATATTGTTTTTCAGGAAAAAATCTCGTTGTGAATGTTATATTTTCTTTTTGTGACAGATTTGCAATACTCATCTCGCTAGTATTATTGTTTAATATTTATACACCGAACGAATAATATCCGATTACTCTTTATTCCAATTGAAATTGAAACTAATATTCATTCGGTTCATAAGTTTTAATATTTTTCAATTGTAATTCTTTTTATTTTCATTATATTATTTCAAATGTTATATTCAATGACTTTGACAAATTAACCAGTTAAGTGCGTTGAGACGTGTATACACGTCGTACCAAATCTCTCTACTGCGGGCGGGGTGCGTTTGACTCGTGTATACTCGTCGTGTCAAATCAAAAAATACCATTTACTATAAAAACTCGAAATCTCAATAAAATGTAATTTTATTTGATGGTATGTTCCCTTTATATTACCAATACAATCTCTATGTATTTTATTTAAATTTATTTAATTTATTGTTATTTATAAGATGCCGTTTGCTCGAAAAAAAAAAATGGAACACGCAAGGAAACAAGGTTTTTGGTGTACGACATGTGAAAGTTGTACTTTGCGTAATACCGTGCACACTTTGAAACATATCACACATACATAGCTTGAAATTATTCTAAACTATTTTCTTATTTTTCTTCTTTATTCTTCCTATCTTCAATTTTTCTTCTTAATTATCTTATTTTATTATTATTTGTTTTTTTTTTCACAATTTTCAAGCTTTTGGTAAGAATAACGTATTCAGAAACGAATTGTTAGTTTTTTTGTTTGCTTGGACTTTGAATAAAAATGTAATCCTTCCTCGTCCTTTTCGTCAAATGTATAATAATAATAATAATAATAATAATACCATTTGTCCTTGCGTTCGACGTGTATACACGTCGTTGCTTGTTTTTAATTCCGCAATAACCCTGTGGTGATGATAATCTTTTGAAACTAAATTGCCACAGTCAAAACTGGTTAAATTGGATTAATTAAAATAATAATAAAAAAAAATGATAATAAAGGTAGATAAAACTTACTCCTTGTAATATAGGCACGAAAATACTCAAAGCTATTAGCCATAAGATTACGATAACGACTACGGTACTCTTGCGATTGAATACTCGTCGAAAAGCTATAGGACTTCGTATAGCAAGATACCTATCGATACTCATTGCAGTAATAGTGTACACCGAAGCAGCAACGGCCACTCCTGTAAAAAATAAATCAAACCACGATTATGCACTGCTCGATTAATCGTCGAAGGATCCACCTTTTTGTCACCTTTTTTTTTCCTTTATCATTCTAACATTTATCGATTACATTAGATAATAGAGTATATTAACAGTGCGGAAATTTGTTTTACGTGACCTTAATTTTGACGAAAATCACATGATATTATTCCTAACGATGATCAATGGTGTAACACAATATCAGATGTATAATATATTCGTCTAATTTTCTTCTTCTTCATAATTTCATAGTTTATAGCCCAAGAGCCCACGATGATCAGATCTTCGTTATTTTATAAAAGCTGAAAGTTTTTCTGTGTATGTTCCCTATACAGGTAAGAACGACCAGTGATTATAGAGTTTGGGTTATGGTTACTTAGGTAGGTAACAGGTAGAGTAGAATTTCGTAGCTACTTGTTAACCGACTAATCATTAAGTACTAAATCTGTTTTTAGGACTCCAAATCGTAAACACGTTAAGCCTTTAAGAAGGAAATTATACAACGTAAATGCATCATCATCTAATACAACATTCAAATGATTACAATCGACTCGAGATTCTCCTCGTAGTCAGTCCTAGAGTAGAATCATACTTCGAAACATGAAACGGCGCTAAATGTTCTTCCAATTATTTTTTGATTCGTTAAAGTATAAAGCTCAATTTTTGTATATTTTCTTCGGGATAACTTTAGATATCTCGTCATCCATTGCCGGGCACTTATGACAGTTGCTTTCGTTACAGTATAAATGCTAAATTTTATATATGAACATTAAAGGGTGTCTGACAAGGGGTTGCCACGATGTTAAGTGTCTGGCAATGAATAACATGATTTTTAATAATATTCTGAAGGTAATATCAAAAAATCACACTTTATTATTTGATGAATTTAGATCGGTATTTTACACACCTTTCCGTTTAACTGCTAAAGCCACGGTAACTCAAGTTTCATAATGGTTCATCGTTCTTACCTGTGTTGGGAACATGCACAGAAAAACTTTCAGCTTTTATAAAATAACAAAGGTCTGGAGTTCACAGGCTCTTGCTTTATTTTCTTTTTATTTCTTTCTTATTTCTTTTTTTTTGTTGTTTTTTAATAATAATAATCTAATGTTATTTAAGTTTGTCCCATTATCATAAACTAAGTTGAAGAAAATATCTTGGGATTGATGAAATTAGAATTTTCAATCATTATTTCAAACAATTTAATTTTTTTATTCTACTTCCATCAGTAGACACAAATTGCAATAGAAAAAATAAAGTGAGGGAGAAGAAAGAAAAAACAATTTACAATAAGTGATAGTATATTTTAACGATAAACATTTTCATGAAAGATAACTTTCTAGATAACGGATAGCTAACATAAGATTTGACCTAAAAACGAGATAATGGAAAAATATAATACTTATATAATATGTATGTATATATTTCGAACTATGTTATCCAATCTTGATTTTAACCTTTAACAACTCAACTATGATTATTTCTGATATACATTTGACACTTTTATTTTGTTAATGATTAGATACATTAAAGTGAAACAACAAATCATTGTTCAATGAAAAAGGCTTTTAATTTTCTCTCGAAAAATGGATTTATAATAAAAATGACTATAGATACTATTAATAATAATGGAAAAAAAAAAAAAATAAAAAAAAAACGAATGAACATAAAAGCTTTTAAAAAAGTAAAGAGATAAGGAAAAAGATCAGGGTGATTTTTATAACGTTGATAAATCTAACGTTCGTCGATCACCAACCAACCAGTTTTAAGAAATATCAAATATAGAAGAAAAATAAGTAGGGAAGAAATGTGACAAAAAAAATCAAATCTATAAAGTAATATAATTCAATAGATAGAAAATTGTAAGGAACATTTTTAAAATATGTTTTATTATTAATGTTATTATAGCAGAAAGAAAAAAAGAGAAAGAGAGAAAGAGATAAAGAGAGAAAGAGATAAAGAGAAAATGAATGAAAGAAGGGACATTGTATCCTATTTTTAGAATTTTACACGTTAGTTAAATATTTGTTAAAGGATCATCATATGTCCTATGTATATTGAGGAGTAAAATCAACAATGAAATATTTATTCTCATCGTATCGGTCAAACTCAGCCCTTACCGGAAAAAGAAGCCCTTTTATATATAAAAAAAATTTACTTGATAGAATTCGTGATAAAAGCTTGGAAATATTTAGTTTTACAAGGAAAAAAGTTGCATTATGTCTTTCTTACGTTAGAAAAGGAAGAATGATGAGTGTTACAAATGGTATTCATATTTTTTTTACTCTCTCTCTCTCTCTCTCTCTCTCTCTCTTATTATTACTTTCCTTTTAAATTGCGAATATTATTTAATATGCAAATAAATAACGTTTTTTATTCGTTCTCTTTTATAAGAAAATGTAATAAAAAAAAAATATGATGAAAAAAAAGAAAAAGAAAAAGAAAACAGATCGATCTTATTCTCTTCGTTTATATTATATTTCATCGAAATGAAAAGAATTTCGTAAAGAAATCATTTTCAATGGATTTAATTTAATGCATGAAAAAGAGACTGGTATTTTTTTTATTTTTTTTTTTTTTTTTGAAATAAATTATCGATAAATGTTTATCAAGGAACTTTATTAAATTGAAATGAAGAATTTTAATGATAAACGGTGCAAAAACCATCATCGAGTATAAATAAATAAATTTACCTTGTAAATATGAGGATAATTTACACATAACTTCGCCATAAATCCAGACGAGTGAAACAGCTTGAGTAACCGCAACTGGCATACAAATCATAGTTACCAATAGATCAGCAACTGATAGATTCACCACAAAATAATTTGTAACGCTGAAAACAGAAGAATGCTTGCGTACATATGCGAGAATATATATATATATAAATTATTATATATTATTTATTATATACTTATTATATTATATATTATACTTATAATTACATAAATATTTAATTTAATAATATTTATTAAATATTATATTTAATTTTATTTAATTAACTTTTTATTTTTTTATATTATATATATATATATATATATTTTATATTATTATAATATTTATAATAATTTATAATAATTATATATTATTATTTTAAAAATTAAATATTATTAATATAATATTATTTAAATAATATTTAATTTAAAACTAATTATGTAATTAAGTTTATAATTACATACTTAATTATATACTTATTATATTATATATAAAATATAAACATGTGCTTCGTTAGAATAATAAGCGATGAAATTCAACTGATGAAGTAAATACAGAGGGTCTCAGTAAAGTAAAATAAAACCCATATATATACGAAGTTAACCTCACACAATAAATAAAGGTGTGGTGTAATAGTATACTCATGTTATGTATGCAGATAGCGAACACCTTGCGTTAACGTATACAATAAACATAGTAATTTCCTATTACTCGTTCTTTGAACTGTTAAAGGTTTTCTCTTTTAAATTCTTATTGATTCTAAAATATAATTATTCGAAATAACCCATTTATTCGCAGAATAATTACAGCAAAATTACTCAGTCATAATGAATAATATTGTAAGATTCGTGACAAAAGATTATTGAATTGTTGGACTAACTGGAACACCTGGGGAAAATCGAACCATGGATTTTTTCTTTCTGGGTGACTGCTCTTTATCCATTGAGCCCATCGTCCAATCATTTCACGAATGATTATTTAAGTATTTGACATAGAGACCAAATCATCTCATTCATCTCATAATATTAATGTTTAAATCAAAATTATTGTACATTTCAATTAATCCTTCAACTTTGTGCAACTTTTCTGTTAAAAACGAAATGATATTTTTATTAATATGAATCATTTTGATAGAATGAAAGAAGAAGAAAATTATTAAACGTATATATGCGTCCTTATGTTGGTCCAAACAGATCGCTTTCGCCATAGAACTCAAAGGGTTAAAATCGATCAATCGATTTTTGGAGATTCATTCAAAAATGTAACTGTATATTACTTCTATAGATAAAAACATAATAAAAAGAGAAAAAATAATTTATAATACAATAGATAAACATATTTCTTCCACTCGAAAAATTGTAGTAGTGATTCGTTTGATAATTGTGCTGTGTTCATGAAAACGTATATGTAATTACTTTTTTTTTACATGAATGACTTCTATTCAGTATAAAAAGAATAATTCTATAAAAAAAAAAAAAAAAATGGTTTCCGTTCCGCATTGATATTTATATAAATGAAATTTATTCAATATCAAATAACCGATCACAATTATTTGACGTTGAGAATTTAAATAATTAAAGGAGCATGTGTTTTTTCTTATGGTATTTGCATCATTAGTATATTTATACCCATAACTTTTAATTGTATAAACCCTTATCGTGTTAATTATAATTAAAACACTTATTAAGACGTAATTTTCTTTTCTCGTTATTACATTTAAAAATTGTTTTCATTTTTATGTAATACTAGGGCTGCCCTGCCACACGTTGCTGTGGCTCACAATCAGTCCGATACACACGTCTTTCGCAATAAAATAATATTGCGAATTATAAATTGAGATATAAACTATCGTATCTTTCAAGTTGAATGAAACTGCACACAGTGTGGAAAATTTGATTAAAATTGGTTTAGTAGTTTAGGAGTCCATTGCGGACAAACAACGTGACACGTAATTTATATATATTAAGATTATCTTCTTCTTCTTCTTCGTCTTCTTCATCTTTCCAGTAGGAAGAAAATAATGATATACTTGAAATATATAACTTTATAGATGTTGATGCTATAAAGAAAGATATTTCCAATTTTACCAAACACAAAATCTGTATAAATTATTTTAAAAGCATGAAATTTTCCAAGACGTAACGAAAACAAATCAGATACGATTCAAAACGTTCCTGCTTTTGATAAAATTCGTTCGAAGAAATTGAAAATATATATATCTTATTTTGACTATCTTGAAATATATTCTTCCTCTTAAATTATTTTATCTAAAATATATATATATTAAATTTCTTTTAATGTTTATAATAAAATATTGAAATGTAAAGTTTATTTATACTTGTCGAAAAGTATACATTTAAATATAATTTTAAAATATTTACGATAAGAACTTTATTTTTCATTTTTATTTATTTATTTTGAATATGGACGATAGAATAGGGATAATTAAAATGTAAAATTATGTAAGAAAAAAAGAAATAATAAAAAAGAACCATTATGACTTCTTCTTCTTCTTCTTCTTTCGTCATTGTTATCTTTAAACGAAGAACAAGAATATTATGTAAACGACGTGATTAACCGTTGACTGCTGTTTACACTTTTGTAGTGACTGAGAATACAAAATATTTTATATTAATAAAAATGACTCTTTTTATGTAATAATTAAAATTAATTATAATCGTTTCTATTATTTTCCAAAAACAAAAACAAAAACAAAAAAAAATAACTGCATTTTTCATCATTGCATTTTTTTAATTGCATTTTTGAAATCCAAAACGCATTTATATTCCACACTTTTAACATAAAAGTTATTATACAAAAAGACTCTTCCAACACTCAAACGGTTAATGTATATAAAAGTAGTTTCATCGGTGTGCGAAGATGACGAGACGAAACGGAGACTTCGTAACCAAGGCGATAATTTTCGTTTGAAAAATAAGCCGGCAGCAATGTGTTTGCTTGAACGTTATTCTGTTCGTTCATTCGTGCATCTATTATAAATGCGTAAGTAATGTTTATTTGAACGATGCACCCGCTGCGATCAGAAATAAGCGCTTTACAGTTTGCTTTTTACATCCTCGAACACTTCTTCTTCTTCTTCTGCAACGTACAAGTTCTTTATCGAGAGAAAAATCCTCTTTTCCGTTGTTCATCGAATACTAATCTCTGAAGAATCTCTAAATTTAACAGATAACCTATTCACTGAGAAAATAATAAAGAAAGATAGAAAGAGAAAGAAGCTCCATGACTCAAGGATAATAATTTATCCTTGGTAAGTTCACTAGCATAAGTAATAATTAAACGAAACTTTATTAAATGAAGTTATTTTTGAACAAATAACTTTTAACTTACTTTTAGATATTATTCTTTTTTAATTCCTTTACGACGTATTGTGTGAACTTTTGTAACAAAAAAAAAAAAAAAACAGAAAAAATTCGATGAGATTAAAAGAACGTGAGAGATGAAAACTCACGTAGAAGAAGAATCTTTAAGTTATCAAAGGTAACTTTTATGTAAAAGAAACAAAAAGGTTCATTCAAATTCTTTGCAAAACTCGTCGAGATTCCATTCATAAGATAAATGACAAATTTCTTTACAAAGAAAATGTAAGAAGAATTAATTTTCGAATACTACTACTTAATCGTTTTGAGTGTAGTTACGAAACTGCTGAAATTGTGTTTCACGTTGATCAAATATCGAAAAGTGTTATTGAAACAAGCATTAAAGCGTCGCTTTGTTGAAACAAAATTTTGTCAAACTCTCTTGTTTAATCGATTCATCCACTTGTCCAAGTCTTTTATCTTGTTAAAACTAGTTTCCAATGAAAATATATTTTACCTTGTTAGGTTGGTTTTACCAACGAAAATACACAAATATATCGTGTATGTGTATTAAGTCTGAGTATGAAATAAACTTCCGGTAACGAAATACAAAATCCCCTATTTTTGCTTGTGTCCATTATTCCTTCTTAACCTAATAATAAGAATATCTTTTATCTTATTCTGTCTTTGATCAAACCGAACAATATTGTTATTCCCGTGTGAATGACGTCATTTGATGATTCTTCCATTTTATCTGTCAATTTTATACACAAAGTATCGCAGTTGTCCGAAATTTCCCAGTATTTACGTACAAACGTTGTTTAACATTTCCTCATTGATATCCACACATGTAAATTTAGTATTTATCAAATGCGTATGTCATACTGCGTGTCTTTGTAATAAAACTGACATTATTTATATCAAAGAAACTTAATATCGAAACACATTTTATTCAAATAACTCGTCAAATTCAAATACCATATTCACCCTATTTCGTATATTTAACCTTTCTATTGGAAACCATTATATTATTTACATCGATTATTAATATTCTATTAATTAACCAATAAATATCATCAAGAAGTAATCATTTGACTTCTTAAACACCCTTAATTGTTCAAATTGTTTGTTACGAATAAATAATTAACAATGATATATTACATAGAAATTAATCAATAATATAGTATATGAAATGAAGCTTACTCGGAAATAATTATTCCTAGGATAGAATTGACTATTTTATTTATTAGAAAAATACTTGTGATCGTTTTTTTAAATCCTTTTTTAACGCTAGATACATCCAGACCAGTCATTTTGACTGGACGGGGGCCATTTTAATTTAAAATTTCTACTTCATGTGACATTTAATTTCTGTAAATAATTAAGCGTATTGTTATTTAAAAATGTCTATAAATCCATTTATCAATTAAAATTATTATTGTTAAACATTTTGGATTATTTTTTAACAGTTTGTTGACCGGTCCTGAGTTAATTCGTGTTTCTGTGGCCGAGCGTTGCGCTAACCGGTCACGAGTTAACTCGTGATGCACTTTTTGTTCTTATCACGCTATTTAAAAGGAAAACGCAAAGAATATAAATATTACAATAATAACAGATTTTGTTGTTGTACTATTGTTATATTGTTTATCATACGAAGAAGAAATATTGAATGTCTAATAATAAGTAAAATTTATGAAAAATTACTTATATTTTTCAAGTGAAAACTTCTTTAGAATGGGTGTGATTAAAACAATGTAACGGAGCGGTAGGCGGCTATGTAACGGAGCGGTGAGAGCCGATGAAACGACCGCGATACTAAATAAGAAGAGAATACAATTATCTTACACCAGATAATTTTATTTTGTATTCGTCTGATTCTCTCGAAACTTAGTTTTTTTTGAAGATTTCACTTTTAACACGTGTGATCTACACACATGTTTTTTACTTTTCAATTCAATTACGAAGTAATAGCCGATGACATTAGAATAAAATCTTAAAAAAGTAGTCGATCAACAAAATGTCAAAAGTAAATAAAGACTGGAAGCCTCCTCAAAAAGCATTTTTTTTTTTATACACCAGTCATTTTAACTAGTATGATAGAAATAGTTATACTAAAAATAGTGGTACATCTAATGTTAATAATAGATTTAAATATGCATCAATTTACTAAACAATTGATGATGTATTTTAAGAAGATATTAACCATATTATTTCAATAACGGATATTAACTTTTTGATTTATTATCGTTACAGCGTCAAACAAAAAAAAAAGAACAAAATCTGATAACACAATAGTTTAGAAAAATAGTTTTGATCATTTTTTTTTTTTTTTACAATCATTTTAATGTACATTTAGATGAACATTGACTTATTAAATGATCGATGATATTTTTAAGAAGTAAATTATCTGATCGGTAAAATGAATTTCTTTATTTATTATTCTTAGCACAATTAAACGAAGAAAAAAGAAAAGAAAAAATAACAAAATGAGCTCTAATGGAAAAAAAAAAAAACTTGTTCTTTTTTTTTAACTTGTCTCGAAAAAAATTTCTATAAACATCGACTTGTTAAACAATCGATAATGTATTTAGAAAGAAAGCATCAATCAATAAATAACTCATTTATTTATTATGGTTACAACATCAAACGAAAAAAGAAGAAATGAACTTTAACTGTAAGTACAAATCTTTTTTTTTCTTTCTCATTCTCTCTCTCTCTCTCTCTCTCTCTCTCTCTCTCTCTCTCTCTCTTCTTTTCCACGTGTATTTCGACACACGTCGGACTTTAACATTCAATCGAAAGAAAAATAAAACTTGACGATCTCTTTATTTTTCTTCTTGATTTTTCTTTTTTTCCTGTCTTATTCCCAGCCATCTTTCTTCTATCACTCCCTCTCTCTCTCTCTCTCTCTCTCTCTCTCTCGCACTCTCTCTTTATTACTCTTCCTTTTCTCTTTCATTGATTTGCACACACGTTCAAACTTTTATCCTCATTCGTCTAATTTGAAAAAAACGAGGGTATCCTTTTTCCTGTTTCTTTGAAATATTTCATTCGAAAAAAATAATCTAAGCAAATTTCTATACAACTATGATTGCACTTTGTACGATCAGTTACTTCAACTGACACGTGAGTTATAAATAAAAAAAAAAAATGATACTTTTATCTACTTGTCCGATACACCCGTTTCAATACACCATATTTCTTGACTCTTTGTATATACGAAAAATACAAGAAAAAAATTCATCTACTTTATTAAATGCATTGTAAAACTTGCTTGCACGACATCGTATTATACAGTTCACATGTAAAACTAGATTTATGTTACTTTTTATGACTGTGTTCTTTTTTTTCCCCTTTTTTTTTTTTTTTTTTTTTGATATGTAAAATCGCATAACATAATGGAAGAACGATGACTCATATTAATTCTTAACAAATGTTTCTTCGAAAATTTACAATTAGTTGACCCAGTTTTGAAATATCATTCATAAATATTGATAAATCATAAATGATGTGTAAATGATAAATGATAAAAGAATCATATTTTAAAAGTACATTATTCATATTATGTTATTCTCATCGATTGATAAAAAAAAAAAAAAACAAATTTGTGCAAATCACACACGGTAGAAGTTGAAACCTTCAAAGAAAACCACAAGCTTCGAGACGTGAATATATCGAAACAATTGAATTGTAATACAGTGCCATTTATTGAAAGAACCTTACAGAACCTAGATAACCTCTAAAAATTGTGCTATGTGTTAAGTTGGAAATGTCATTAAAATAAGTTGAGTAGTTTCAGAATTATTAGTGGACAAACATATTGTTACACTGAATTTTTATCTATAGAATTTTATTAATTAATTAATGATTTTTGTTTCATCGGTTTCACGTTCTTCCGTTTCACGATTTTCAAAATTACACCCTGATTCTAAAGAAGTTTTCACTTTAAAAAAGCCATTCGATTAGCCAAATCGATTAAATTATATAAAACGAAAAAAGTCGAGAAAATTGATTGATTTATTATTTAACAATCATAAATGTTTATTTATTAACGTTGAGCTTAATTATTAACCAAAATTTACCATAAATATAAGTTAAATATTGATGAAATTACTTTAACAATAAAATTTGTTTGAAAAATGAATATAAATTAATTATGACCTATAAATGGTTCATATTAAATGTACATACAAATAAGTACATACCTTCTCATATAGTGATACTTGAAGACAACGGCAATGACGAGTGCATTAGCTGTAAAAGCTAACGCAATGACAGGTACATAAAGAGTAATTAGCAAATAATTTGGTTGTACATCATTGAAACTATCATATAAATCCCACAGTATATTGGTTACAATTGCATTTTGATCATAAGCAAAAGTAGCAGTTGTTGGAGTTGTTGTTGTTGTTGTCGTTGTCGTTGTTGTCGACGTTGTCATCGATGTTGTCGTCGTCATAGTCGTCATCGTCGTCATGATTTTGCCAACGAATGGTGTCATTGAAGGTGTATTTATCATTGACATTGTCGTTGAATTTCCATTTAATATATCAGGATCGAATAAAAAATAATCACGAAGGGAACGTGTCATAGTTGTTATTGCCGACATTGAAATACTTTCAGTGTTCCAAATGATCATCAGCAAATTATATCACTTTCACACACCCTATTGAATTTTTTCCACTTTCTTTTACACTTTCTTTCTTTTACTTTTTTTTTTTTTCTCCAAATCCTTTTGTACGCAAGATTAGATCAGCATAATCTCACAAAAAATTTCCATTACCGGAACACAAACATAGTGAAGGTAGGTAGAGTAGCTTGTTCGTTGTGTATACCTAAAGATCTTTTAACCTTTGACATTTTCTTTTTTTTTTTTAAATGGGGGTAGAAGCAAGGAGTTGTAATAGTCTTTATTTTCACAAAATAAAACTTTACTTTTATTCAATGATTAATAATCCTTGATAGATAATTATTTAAAAATATATCTCTAGAAATATTATTAAAAATGTATAATGACGAACTTATAAATATTTTTAATAAATGAAATAAATCTAGAAAATATCTAAAATGTCATATTTTCGTGTTAAATTATTAAACGAAATTTAATCATACAAAAGGATTTTAAATAATCAAAGTATCAACTCCATTAGTTTTTAGAATTAATTAACAAAATTAATATATAACTGATAAAATTAACTTGAATAATAATATTATAATTAACAAATGAAGTTAAAGATAAATTCAGAAAATGATAATATCATATTAATAATCACGAATTTGAATTATTTCAAATGTTAATTGAATTTTTTCTTTTTTTTTTTTTTTTTATTAAAATTTACCTTCAAATATATTTCTTTGATAAAAATTACATATTTTTATGTAAATACTTTTCAGATAAAAATATGGTAAATGCGTGCTATAGTTGATTAGAAGAGAGAGAGAAGAAAAATACATCGGACATATTTTAAATTAAGGTAAGTCAGAAAATGTTTCTAACATGTGTTTCGTCCGGAAGAGTCATCAGTAAATGAAAAGGGCGTCCTCTTTTCTCTTGACTCGATTTTTTCCGAGCATTTAAAAAATAAATATAAAAAAAAATATATATATATAATTCGTTAGAGTGCAAAAGTTACTTTAATCTTAATCTTATATCTAAATTCTTGAAAAAAAAAAAAAAAACCGTACAAACTTTGACAAATAAGAAAATTTGTTAACATCGTTTATTATATTCATAAACGTTTGTCAATGTATTGTTCGAATTTTAAAATGAAATAAACTCTAAATCTGAGAACATCATCCGTTATAGTCAATTCTTTCTTTTTCAATCCAATAGGTGTCAAATTCATTTCAAACGAAATTGATTTTTCAATTCCGATAAATTCGCATTTCTCTTCTCTCCTTTCTTTTTCTTCTTCTATTATGATTATTTTTCTAATAATTCCTCGTCTTTGTTCTTTCGATTTCTTTTAAAGAGTATTAATAAAGGATCATTGAATTTGAAGTGATCGCTTGTTTTAATAAAAAAAAAAAAAGTTCTCATATTTGTTAATTGGATCAAAAATTTATCATAAAATGAAATATATAATATTCCTTTGACGAGATCAACCGGATTACAGACAATCAATCAAATTTGGTACCGTAAAAGACTTAAACAAATTATTCACGAACCAATGGAGACGAAAAAAAAACGTGGAATACATTTTTTTTTTTTTAAATCCTTGTACTACAAATGCATAAAAGTTAATAATTTAAAATTTACGATTACTGTTATCTGATATCATAGTGGTAATTTTCTTCATATCCTTGAATGTGAGAGAACAAATTTTTAATAAGATTCGAATATATTCAACCTACACTTCACTTAATTGATACGACGATATCGAAACAAATTTTTTTTCTCTTTTTTTTTATCTTTAATTTCATTTAAAACTATAATACTGCATTCCCAATTAATTTAAAGTGCGTTACATAAATAAAAAACGATTCATCGATAATAAATAAATACGATACTACAAAAATTAGGTAAAATCAATTTGTTAACAAAAGAATTATTTTATATTCTATCAATATCTACGAATTGAAAACTTTCCATCCACATGGATATTATAATATATAATTTTTATAATATTTATAATATATATATTATAATATATATAAAATGTAAATATAAACTATATATTGTTTCTATCTATTTAATTATTATTATTATTATTATTATTACTACTCGAAAAAAAAAAATCAAATGAAATACTTACACGTATATACCCAAAATGGAATATCTTTTATATTCAAAATATGATATTATTTTAATAAAATGAAAAAAAAAACAAACTTTTGTCTCAATAACATATGTATCACAGAAACACTATCTATTATAACTTTGATCATTGTTTATTTTCCATAAAGATATAAATAAATAAACCCCATATCAATATAATTAGAAAATTCTATTCAGTATTGCACTTGAGCTAACACTGTCCTACACTAATGCATCATAATAATGATATGTATATAATTTAAACCTCAATCAATAATAATAAACACACACACGCACACACAATTAACATTTACAATAACCGTAGAGAAACTCTTCCACGTTTATCGAACTAATCATCGTCATCACCGATAAAAACGTTGCAAAAATTAATCTTTTTTTACGATCGCCATGTTCGATTTTCATTAGATCCTAATTTTCGAGTCAGCATTTTTATTTCTTCACGATTTTCTTCATCTCTATTTCTATATTTCTCTCTTTCTCTATCAATCTCTTTTCTTTTTTTTTTTTTTTTATTATTCTCTATCTCATTCAAAAAAAAACAAAAAAAAAACAAAAAAAAAGCAAGGAAGAAGAAAAGATGACAAATAAGAACAAAATAGAACAAATTTAAAATACAAGTATAGAGTATTATATGTAAAAAAATAAAAATAAATGAATTAACGATATATATATATATATATATATATATATATATATATATATATGTATGTATGTATGTATGTATTTGTGAATAATATTAACGCGTGTAAGAAACTTTTTTTCGAGGGTTAACGACAACGACAAAGCAGAAAGAAGAATCGTGGCATACTGGAGGGAAGAGAGAATCGTGACTCCCGCCGAAGGTGTTGAAGGCGCCGCCGTATTCGTATAAACGAGCCCACCTACACCTCTCTGATCGTCTAAAATGCGCCTGCGTCTGTCTCCCTTTCATTCTTCTTTTCTCCTCTTCATCCTTCGCGGGTTATGTACGAAAATCAACAGATCTATCTCTATCTCACGTATCTATCCTTTTTTTTCTTTTTTTCTTCGAAGAAAATAATTATAATTCAAACGATTTTCTCAAAAATATTATCAATCCTATTAATATTTCATATTGAAAATATATATTGAATAAAATTTGTTAAAAAAATTTTTTTTGATCGATTGAAATATATCATGGATTTATAATAATTCATTGAAATAATATCATTTTCAATTGATAAAATAATCTCTAGTATTTTGTATTAAATATTATGATATTGTTTATTGATTGGAATTCTCGGAAAAATTTGGATTTTTAAATTGAGATATATATGGGATTAGTTATTTTTATTTTTAT